CTGCGGCATCTACCTCCACCAGACAGCCAATATTGACGGTTTGCTGGCAAAGTGCGGCATGGAGAATAGCCGCCCCGTGACTACGCCGATGGAGTCAACTCGGGACCTGAACGGAGAGGACAGCGAGCCCTTCTACGACACTAGCATCATGCGGGAGACCATTGGGTCACTTATGGATTAGCAACTGCACTCGACCAGACATCACGATGCCTGTGAACTTCCTGGCGCGTTTCGTCTCAACGCCTACGTCGACTCATTGGACTGCAGTCAAACGTATCCTGCGCTACTTGCGCGGCTCGCACGAGTTGAGGTTGCACTTTCCCCGGCCGCAGGCACCCCGACACACTATTGAGGCAGCCATCTTCAGCGATGCAGATTGGGCCGGGGGCAAGGACGCAAAGTCGACTTCAGGAGGACTGCTCACCATCAACGCCATGCCCATTTCGTGGTACAGCAAGAAACAATCTACGGTCGCCCTCTCTACAGCCGAGGCTGAGTACATCGCTGGGGCGACGGCAGTGCAGGACTGCTTGTGGGTGAAGCAGCTCCTGAATGAACTTGAGCTGCACGGCAAAGATGATAATATCGACTTGTACATCGACAACCAGAGCGCGATCAAGAACATGGAGAACGACGTGACGACTGCACGCATGAAGCACATCAACATAAAATTCCACTTCATACGCGACGCCATTCGCAAGAAGGAGGTCAGCGTGACCTATTGCCCTACGACTGAGATGAAGGCCGACATTTTCACGAAGCCCCTCGGCGCAACCCTACACGGGCGCAACCTGGCCATGATCAAGCATATCAACCCGCACAACGAGAAGCTGTAGACTCGGATCATCTTGGTCGAGGAGGACTGTTGGAGATCGCAAGAGCTGGCGCCACCTGCGATGAGTGCAGTGGCGACGATAACGGCCTGCGACGACCACAACGACCCCTCCAGCTACACAACACGAAACTACCGATGCATATTAGCCTAGCACAGACATCCTAGCATCATCCAACCTAACTCATTCTGCAATACACCAGGTGCGAGGCACCACTACAAGGAGCATCCCGTGCAGGATCAACGAGTGCTCCCTTCACGTGGTAGTTTGCGAGATTTTCAGTCGAGAGCAGCACTTCCTCCCCGACCGCAAAAGATTGCACCGGTCGGTTTTCATCGTAGTACGCACTCATGCCAGTAGCAACTCGCGCCGAACAGTAGCCAATCGGTCTGCTTGGTGCTCGAGGAACGTCTTCCCCTGAGCACGACGTTGGAGTTCAGCTCCTGTGGCACGAGGTGGCGTCATCATGGTGGCCGGTGTCGACGGAAGGTAGCCGAGGTCGGCTTCGAACGGTGCCATCGAGATTGACTGCTAGTATCGCGAGTTGTACGCGAATTCGGCCAGCGACAGATACTCATCCCAATCGTCCGATGCACCACTCGTAAATGCTCTCAAATAGTTCTCAATAGTCTGATTTAGTCGCTCAGTTACGCCATTGGCCTGGTGGTGAAATGCGCTCGTGAGCTTTTGCCGTGTCCCCAACATTCCACACAAAGTGCTCCACACAGTAGACGTAAACTTAGGATCACGGTCAGAGAGTATCTCCACCGGAACCCTGTGCAGAACAAAGATGCGGTCGCGGTACAGCTCGGTGATGTCACGTGCCGAAGCTGTACCCTTACATGGCGCGAAGTGAGCTCGCTTCGTAAGTTGGTCTACCACGACCAACACAGAATCAAGCTTCGCACGAGTTTCAGGCAGTGCCACAATAAAATCCATGGCCACATGCGTCCATTGTCCGCGCGCAATAGGCTGACTTTGGAGCAGGCCTGGTGGCTTAGAATTACGAGCCTTTGTCCTTTGACACGTTTCGCACGACTTCATATACGCACGAATGCTCTTCGTCATGTGTCTCCAGTAGTAGTGTTCCTCCACCAATCGCAGCGTTCGATCGATGCCAGGATGGCCATAGACCTCTACGTCGTGGAACTCGAAGAGCAGCGCATTAATTAGTTCATCAATAACAGGTACAACCAGTCGAGGAACCTCATCATTCGGTCCAATGTACATCAGCTTCTCCCCGTCGAGGCAGTAGCGATCAACGAACTTAATTTTCTCGGTGGCGGCAGTAGGATCCCCTCTCAGCGCTAGTATTATCTTTTCCGTGTGTGGGTCCTCGCTGTAACGCTGAACAATTTCACTTACAACAGCATTCATGCCCCTTTTCACTCGAGCACGAACGCAAGTTGCTGATGCAATGGTCTCCAGCGAATGTCCATCTTCAAAATCAGCTCGACGAGAAATCCCATCTGCCACTGTATTCGAAGCTCCAGTGATGTACTTAAAGGTCACCGGATATTCGCTGAGCTCGTCGTACCAACGCGCAAATCGGCGCGAAATACTCTTTTGCGAAAACACAGTCTCCAGGGACTTGTGGTCGGTCTCTACAATGAACGGCTTGTCCAGCAAATAGACCCTCCAAACTCGCAGCCAAAACAAGATCGCGAGCAACTCCTTTTCGCGGATAGAGTAGTTCTTTTCTGCGCCTTTGAACTTCCTCCCTTGGAATGCAACTGGCCGCTCTACAACTTGACCATCGTGCTCCTCCAGCCGGAAGAGAACTCCACCAATGGCAAAGTCACTGGCATCCATTCGCATGAAAAAGGGTTTATTGAAGTCGGCAAACGCTAGAACAGGCGTAGCCGAAATTCGCTCTTTGAGCTGCTCGAAGTGTTTTACAAGCTCATCAGTCCATTCGAGCTGGCCCTTTCGTTGTTGTTTATCCTTTGTTTTCAGCATTTCAAAAAGAGGCCCAGCGTCGTGCGCGAAGCCGTCACAGAAACGCTGCACGTAAGTTGCCGACCCCAAAAACGACTGCAACTCGCCCTTCGTCTTGGGTCTTGGCCAATCGCGAAGCACGGCCACCTTCTTGGGGTCAATTCGAACTCCATCACGCCCAATATAATCGCCCAAACATGGTATCTCGGCCGAGCAAAAGACGCACTTGCTTAACTTTACGTAGAACTTGTTCTCTTCTAGCCGAGTCAGCACGCGATCAAGCGCGGCGAGATGCGAATCGAGGTCGTGACCACGTGTGAACACGTAAATGTCGTCGAAATAGGAGAGACAGAAGTCGGCCATGTCTTTCAACAACTTGCGAATTCCATCGTTAAAAGTCGCAGGGGCATTCGACAAGCCCATCGGAATCACAAGGTATTCAAATGAACCATCAGCAGTCTGAAATGCTGAGTACTTGATATCCGAATCTCGCATGCGGAACTGATAGTAGCCGCTGAGTAGATCCATGCAGCTGTACCAGTATGCACCCTGCATTTGTTCGAAAATAATGTCCTTCCTTGGCATAGGTAGCGTCCGACGCACGGTGTGATTGTTCATCGCGCATTAGTCATGCACGATTCGCCAGCCTACGGGCTTCTTCATGCAGAACGTGGGTGCCCCGTGTGGTGACGATGACTGTCGTATCAGCCCTGCACGTAGCATTTCCACCACCCAGGCTCTTATTTTCTATTCTTGAGCTGGGGATTGACGCCACTGCTGCCGGAATATAGGTTGGTTTGTATCCACTTCCATCTCGTGAACTCCATGGCTCTTCGGTGGAAGTTCACACGGTAGCATCTGTCTGAAGACGGCTTTGTGGCACTTCAAAACAGAGTACACAGGTTGACCATGAAAGTCTTCAACGTCCACGAGTGATTTTCTGTTATCAGTCTGCTCCTTCTCAGTAACAGGTCGAATTACAAAAACGCACTCGATGTCCTGAGGTTTGTGCAGCATTCTCTTGAACTGCTTGCTGGTAATATATTTTGTTTCGCCACTTGTGACTGAGAAGTAGCCATGGACGAAGTATCGGCTACATGACGTGGCTGTAGATCCGCACACTGAGACGCGTCTGCCACCAACTTGCAGAACAGGTCGCGATGGTATCGCTGTCGTGCGGGGTTTCACTGTTTTCTTTTTTTTTGTTTTAGTTGCGCTGGGCTTGGGAGCAGCAACACCTCGCGGTTTGACCTTTTCCTCGATCCAGTCGATGTCGGGGTTCACCGTCTTCAGCCAGGGCATGCCGAGCAGAATATCCTGCTCTTCAGGCACCGGAAGCACAATAAAATCTACCTCGTACGGTTCAAATTCATCAATGAAGAGATGCAGTCGCACAGTTTTCTGCTGGACCTCCATTTCCTGCTTGTTGGCCAAAGTAATCGGAATCGTCGTACCATTATCCACGATTTTGTCCTCTAGCTTCGCCTTACAGCAAAACTCAGGGCTCACAGCGTTAATCGTAGCGCCGCTATCAATAAAGTTGGAGTTGGATCGTCCTGTCCGCTCTGCACCGTACTCGTTGTATGCAATAGACAGCAGTAGTCGCGCGACAGAGGCTTCGAAGTCTTCAAACACCTTCGCGAGTTATCACATTTCAGATCTCCAAGAGACTTCGCTCCATTAGTCACACTCGAGTACAACGTGAATTTATTTTCCTGTTTTTTTTTTGCTTTTGTTGTTGAACGTCATCATTTTTCTGCTCGTTTCGGTCGTTATAATCACAATCAGGACGCTGTGTCGTCGATTCCCTCTGGTTCTCCCGCAGCGATCACACTTACACTTTAGTCGGCTGAGCTTGCGAGTATGTCCGGTCAATCGCTCAACATCGAGCGGACTTGCTCGTTTAAAGACTCACGTTCATGGCGGGGCTGATTTTCCGTCACCACCATTCGCTCCAACATCGCAAATATTTTCTTGTTCAAATTGTTGTTAGTGTCGGGGCGCTTTTCGGGGTGCTTGAACCAGCAATCCTCCACTCAATGGGGTCCACGACCACAGAAACTGCATTTTTTTGTCTGCCTTGGCCGTATTGTTGCTGGCTCGGGCGCCATTACCCGATCTGCGGGCGGCAGGCGGCGCTGAGTCTGTTGATTGAGCCGGCGAGTAACTACCACCGCCTCTCTTGCCTTTTGGTTTGGCCTCGCTGGGTTTGTTGAATGTCGTCTTCTCTTTGAGCTCCCACTCGAGAAATCCTTCTCGAATCGCAGCATTCAAGTCTCGGGGTTTCTTTCTCAGAATTTCGCGCTTCATAGTCACATCCGACAATCCGTTGAGAAACAAATTCATTGCTGTTAGCGAATCGACCTGTGCGATGCGGTTGAGCTCTCGAAATTTTCCCACATATCCAGTGTAGCCACCAGTTTGCTTGAGGGTAAGCAGCCGGTTCCTAATCTTCTCCTGAAAGTTGGGCTCCGTAAACTCGACAGACATCGCCAGCTTCAGCGCACTCCATCGCTTGTCCGACGTCTCATCCGTCATGTATCCCTCGTACCAGACTAACGCATTCTTCTGTACACACTGGTTCAGCTCATCCGCCAATTTGTCGTCATTCAGCACCAAATCGTATCCCTTCTGGCGAAAATACGACTCGAATTGGAATACGAAGCTATTCAGCTTGATCCCATCGATCTCACCGAGGCTTCACGTCCATTTTGCGTAAATGCTGCTCCTGAGCACCCCAAAATCCTCTGCCCGTCACTCCAGCTGCTACATTTCCTGCACCAGCACTCTGCGCCAGTGGCGGGGTCGTACTCGCTATGCTCTGGGCACTCTGGGCTCCACGAGGTATCTGGCTTGCTGCTTGAGCTAAGCGCTGTGCGTCGAGAGCGACTTGCCTCACTTGAGTCAGTCCTTGCGTTAGGTTAGTCATCCCTTGCACCAGATTGGCCACCGTGTCATTCAAAGCGGCGATATCGGCACGAAGTCCGGTGCTCATGTTGTTGATTGTCGTATTGATGTTAGTGCTGAAAGCCCTAAGGTCATCATGCGTCTGTTCCAGTCTGGTTTCCAGCCTATCGATCCGTTGGTGTTCGGCGCTGCGGCGATTCCCATCCAGCTGCTGCCGCACCGGCGCGGTGTCGCTCCTCAGCATCCTCCGCGCTGTGTTTCTGTCTTGCATCGGCACCAAGTTCTACTATGTCGCAATCTTGCTGCTCACGTGCGAGCCGGAAGATGAGAATTGGTAGCACTTAGACAAAGGAAGCTGTTTGTTGAGGCTCTTGATACACGAAATCTGTGATTGTAGAGTTACGGTACTTGTTGAGCTGTCGAGGTGCCCGAGATCCCCTCCCGAGGTCACCGGTGTGGTTTGCCCACGTCGGCTTGGCCGGAGCAGAAGTCGACTTTATTCCTTCTTTTCAGATTCCGGAATGCCCAGCGGTCATTCCTGCTAACTATCTTCTGCTAGCCTATCTTGAACATGCACCCACTACGCTCAACGGCTACACTGGTAGTTAAGTAATTTCCGGCAGGGTTCCTCTGAACAGTGACAGGCTCATCAATGTGCTCACGAGCTCCTGCAGAAGCTCGTGACAACGTTAGCCGAACTGGGTACGTAGCTGAACCTTCGTATGTAGCTGCCGATCACGTTAAGCCACGGTATGGCGTACAACTCGTCACTAATCGTGTAGTCATTGACGTCGCTGACAAGCTCCATGATCATGGAGGCCAGATCGAAGCGCATACCTGCGGTGTCAGCAACGATGACACGAGCGGAACCTCATCTAATATCTTTGTAATCGATCGGATTCAACGCATCACTTTGTTTTTGAATTGAAGACCATTATTCTCACTTCGCTATCAGCTAACGACTAAAAAGGATTCAACACACCGCGTAATAATTGACGCGCACCTCGCATAAACGGCTCGACCCCGAGCCGAGCTTGAGCTCGTCGAGTCCGAAGTTTTTGTACTGGTTGAACTTTGAACGTTGCGGACATGGCGAATATGTGATGTATGGGAGATGGGGCTACTGCGAAGTGATTGTTTTCGCTCGTGGGGACACTGGCAGGCTGTGGACCTCGGTCGCAGCTGGACTGATAGCTATTCCGTAACAAAAAGAAATGTGTTAGAGATACTAAGATATGGATTCGTCATCTGAACGAAGTTTATGCCAAGATTCCAATGAGTACGTTACAGATATCTGCAAAACACCTTCCGGCAGCTTGAGAGGAATGCAAAGCTAGGTACGTCGGTAGCGACAAAATTACACCTCACATCGATTGCAACGAGCTCAAGTGCTTCTTGCACCTGCAGTGCGTGCATGCATAGTATTGGAGTGTGTTGTGGTTACCGATCCGGGCCGTGGTCGAAGGAGCTGTGCTCCCGACGACCGCTTCACCTGTCACCAGTCCCCGACACAAGTGCCGTCATACGTCATAGGTAGTTGGGCTAGTAGTGACCCGAGTCGTAGTACCACCATGGCGGCGCGACTGTGTCCTGCGGACTGCCTGGCCGGCGTTGCTCTAGCCAGTCAGAGGGGCGTGCGAGTAAGTACTCAGGCCGTGGCTACCAAATGTGAACGGCATCGTTGCCTTTGCTATTGACAGCTATCGCTAGCGTCAAACTGTTAATGCAGGCGCGAATTTAGATCAATAAGCAGCGCTACATCGTTGGCGAAAAAACGAGAATATTCAGCCGGACCCTCCTTCACCTATGACGGTGAAGCGGAGGTAGACTCGAACGCCTAAAACGCCGACAAGGCTGCGCTGCATATAGAGAACATTGACCCGAATGACACTCAATACATCTCATTTGCTCACCAACGTGACCTACGCATTTAGGTCACGTGACCTAATCACAACATTTGGCCGTGACCAAATATGCCATTTGACCTAATTTATCGGTTACCGGCACCGCCACAGCCGGCGAATAGCCCCCCCCCCCCCCCCCAGATCATCCCCATGGCTGGGGTTACTTCGTTCAGCTTCGATTATGTATAGCGGGGGTACTGATTTTTAGCGTCTGAAGAGTCCAGCAAGGGTGTATTTCCGAGCGTAGCGGGGAAATTATGTTTTCCGATAGAAGGATAAAGCCACGTTGAAGCAGGACGAGGTGATCGTGGACGGCGAGCCGCACGCGGACACCAAGGCGCACGTGGACACCAAGATGCACACGCACACCAAGCCGCGCGCGGTCACCAGTAGGTTTAGTATGCCATTCAAGCGGGCGGTTTTCTTGGACCGGGCAACCGGTACATGTTTTGTCCCCAGCCGAACTTGGCAGTAAGTAGTGTACATGACCAGCCAAAGACATGCAAACTGTATGCTGTGAGAATCAACCCATCTATATTAACGTAATTGATCAGATATGCTCTGTTAAGTAACAAAAACAGTCGTTTAAGCGAAGTGGGTCCTCCGACGTTAACTAGCCCTAACCGCAGCTCAATAACGTTGCAATAACAAGAATAACGTCGCCCAAAAAATAAATGACGCGTAAAATACGTGACAGCCAAATCCCTCATTCAGGCCGGATTTTCCCTCAGGATTAAAATACTCATTTCAAGTGAGGGTTGCCTCGATTAATTTCGAACTTAAACGAAAAGAAGCTGTACTTTAGGAAAAGGGGGAGAATCTCAGCCCTCCATTTCAGAAAACCAGCTCGAACCGCGCAGCCACCTCCTGGAAACATTACGATAGCCCGCTGTTTAAGGGTGGGGCAAGCCAAGCCACTTCACGAATTACGTAAGTTTGACCTTGCTTCTTACAGGTGTGCATTAATGTTGCTTGTTATATATGCATTAACTTTGGCAATTTGTTCTTGTTTATTTGGTAATGTATTAAGGCTGTTAAGGCAAAAGCGGCAGGATGCTCCGTACGAGCAAGCTGAACGCATTGGCATCGGAGATGGCCAAGCTGCGAGAGTCTGCCCCCCCCCCCCTCCCGCGAATACTAAAGGTAACGTTGCTCTGCGCTCTATTGTCTGCTAATGTTGCTCTATGATTAATAACACTGCTTCATTAATATGTATGTTTCAATGTTGTTTTGACGTTAGTATTCAGCTTCAAGCTGCGCGCCGCGGGACGACAAGGACGTGCGGGCTGAGAGGGAAGTCCACATCTAGCAGAGTAGTTCGGCCTGGTTCGCAATGACAAGAAAGGAGGCTCTACGAATCACCAGCGACTAGACCAGGAGGAGGACGACGATCACCATGGCCAGGACAGCAGCAGCGGCTTTGAGGACCGATGTAGGTTAGACATACAGAGTAGATTAATCATACTAGTGTTAACGTTGCTCGTAATAACGTCGCGATTACTATCGTTGCCTAACATAACGTTGCTCTTGGTACACACCCCAATTTTCTTTCCTAATTAGTACTACAAAACTCGTTGCATGTCTTCAACCTTTCGATTTATTATATTATTACCCAACCACTATCATCGTCCAGGTCCCTGACATAATCTCTGCTGCTTCGTGTTGCTTGAAGTTATGTTCTCTAATTTCCGTACACCTATACGATTGTCGTCCTAAACGTTTGCGCAGCATTTGCGCCCAAGCGCTTAGGTTTAATCGAGTGAGGTCGACACTATACGAAATATCGCCGAGTACTAACGTTGCTTCTCAATAACGTTGCATTATGATTAGCGTTGCGAAATAACGTTGTTCCAAGATAACGTTGCGTTATGTTTAGCGTTGCGCATTAACGTTGCTCCAAGATAACGTCGCTTTATTTTTAGCGTTGCACGTTAACATTACCCGTTAAGATGACTTATCCTACTTCCTCTGTTCTTATATAAAAATAGTGTTCAAAGGATACAATGCCTTCCCAAGCCGTACTTATAGTTATCAACCGCCAAACTATTCAATTGCATTACCTGGGTCAGACGCATCAGCCATTACATGATCGCTATAAAACTTAGCAAAGTGCTTTACTATAATGAGAGAGGATAGCACTACGGTGACTTAGCCAGCGCGTAGTATAGGAAGCATATTAAATGGAGGCAGGATCACGCATCTGCATACTATACCTATAGATATATTGAGTCCATTTTTAAGAAAACAGCGATGCATATGATTTAGAACAAGATCGCAATTTACTATAATATCACTGCTATTAAATTACAGCACACAACTGATGAGGAATCTGTTTAACGCTTAGCATGGACATGTCGGCTAGAACCTGCGACCTTTCTGGTAGATTAGCTGTGACGATACATTTATGCATCACTTCGACAATGTTACCCTAGATGAGTTTGATAATAGATTCTACGTCCATTTGTTGCATGTGTCGATGTGTGGTACAGACAACGATTTACAAAGCCGGCATGCTTAATGCCATCCTCCTATATAAAAACAACGATAAATTCCCTCCCATCAAATCTGTAAAACTGTCATAAAAACAAAACACACGGTGTGTTGCATAAAGTACACAAGAAAGCATATAAAGTATACAAATCCAGATGGTATACAAAGATGAAGTCATTTGATTGAATCTGATTGGCTGGTTTGCTCATGTAAGCTTTGCTTGACTTCGTCTGCCGGCTTTTTGTGTCTGCCGGCTTTGTAAGTCGTTGTCTGTAGCTATTGTACACAGTAATACGTAAAATATAAGCATGAACAGCTATGGTTTATCGGCTAAGTAACAGGCAGCAATTCAAGTCTTACGCTTCTTAAGTTCCAAATTTTACAGCGACGTTAATAGTTCTTGCGCAACGTTAACTGGTTTTACCTAAATTATGATACGCGATTGACGGTAGCACCACTCGTACTAAGCCTTTTACACTTCATACTGTTAATATATTGAAGCCTATTTATTGTAGGTGAAGTACACGCAACCTGGCAATGTAGTCATTGATAATCTGCGGATGTACTAAGACGGAGACAATGAGAGTATAACTGAACAGTAACCGAAGGTAATAGCCATGTACCTAATAGTTTTTATTTTATAGATTCTGACACGACTTTATACAGTAGACGCGGAACTTCCGTAGTAGACACGGAACTTCAGCGTCTACTATTATTCCAGATTTTTTGAGAAGAGGTCAACTAGTTTGTAAGATAATAATGCTTAAACTAGTCAATGCACGATGGTACAGCATTGAATGCATAATGAAAGTGTCCGCGCATATTCTGTGCATTCTGAAACAATATCAATCATCGACGTGGACCTGGTATGTTACTTGATTTATCAGTAGGGTTTGCTGCCGTGCAATGCTGTCGCCAACAACTTACCTCGAAGAAAGTTAGTGGGCGATGTGATCGAAGTGCAACGTTAGCGGGCAACGTTGCTGCGAGAGCAACGTTATCAAAAGAGCAACGTTAATGGTTTCGAAAACAAATATAATGGTCACTATTAAAACGCTTTTACGAGCGCTTGATTAGTTATATACTCTTACAATAAGAACTACGTCTCGTTGTCGAAGAAGTACAGCCCAGAAAACCATTGGCATCCGCGATAAAACGTACCCATACAGAGATAAATGAATCCGAACACCAGAGTATTCAGCATACTTTGCACTCACAAAAGTGTACTCGTGGTGTGTGCCACTTCAGAGCTCTCCCACCCTCACCTCAGTGAGCGGCTCGATGGATTTGCGCACCTCGTGAGCCTACTATGTACTCATTCAGCACAGATAATACCTCAGAAATAAATTACCTATGTGTAACACACCAGGAATTTATCCGATAAATTACAAGTCCGACCTTGTCCTACCATGTATTGTGCCTTTCACCTATTTTGGCGGGTGAGCTGTTAAATCAGGCGGAATTAGATCCATAAAAGGACGAGCAACGCTCATTTAGCGTTAATTCCGCCTATGATTGTGAGTGCTTCCCCTAACTCACGCGATCAGCATTTGCGAGCCAATCGACGGAGATACGAGCAGAATGGCATGGATTGGCGGGTAGCAAACCGCCAATCGCTCTGTTTCCGTCTAACTCAGGCTGGATTAGCTTATTCCGCCTTAACCCAGCCTCACCATCGCCGCTCTTAATTCGACCGCGGTGGGACGACCCGGAATTAACATGGGAGTTAGCTAACTCAGGGCATAATTAGAGCCGAGAAGGGATTAGAATTATGCCAGAATTATCACGGCAGAATAAGTGAAAGGCACAATACCCATGTTGCTAATAACGTCGCAATAAGGCCCTAGCGTTGCCGTAAAAGTGTTGTGACGTTGTAAAATGATGACTGATAACGTTGCAGGAACGCCATCCTCGTTTAAGCCTCCATTCCGGTGAACTTTATATAAAAAAACGCTGCGTAACAAACTAAAATCGCGATCTTGATAGGGAATCGCAGATTTATAAGTGTTGAATTTGAAATTTGTAAATCGGTCCGATACCTACTTTTTTCTGTGGCCTACATATTTGAAGTTTACAATAGGATAATTTCAGGATACATTGGTTTCTAGAGTCCCAGACTTCCTCGTGGTACATGGGCCAAGCGTAGCTGACTCGGCCTCTCAGTGCCTGGCACTTAGCCCCAACAGCCTCCAAATCAAAGATCAAATAAAGGACCAAAAACTTGAAGCTAACCTTGACCGGAGTTCTATGAGATACACTATCTAATTCCTATGGACGAAAGCCCTGGATTACCTCTTTAAAGTGTGTGTCTCGCAAAATGTCCACCACCGTCCATCATGCCTAAAAGACTATAAACAAAGTGTCATTAATAACATATCGCGTTTTCCGTTTTGTCCTTGATTCTAGGACGCCTCGCGAACAGTCATTGTACTTGTTATACATGATACCCTCGTACTTATCCGGGTCTTATCCCCTCCCATACAAACGCCAAGTCACTTTTGGTCCTTTTTGCTGGCTCTAGGACAAAAACGCCAAAATCACAGCGTACTTAAGCGGATTTTGGTCCTTGATTCAAGGACAAAAAACGTTGGGGTTAGGGGAAAAAATATGTTGAAGCCTTTTGTGATGGTCCCCTCTTTTGTCATACACGGAAAAATGACGCATTATTCTTGTCGAAGGGTATCTACAATCTGATTGGTCGAGAGAATCATGAAAACCAAACTTTTGCTTTGATTACCAAAGAAACTTCAAAGATGACCGAGCTGCAGTCGCTTCTTAGCTCCCGGTCAGCTACGGTTGGCCCTACTGGGCAGAGGAAGTCTGGGACCTGGGCAGGTGCCAGTTTGTGGTGGATCTACCGACGAGACGGGACGAGGACGGGGGAGGGCTTCTCTACTCTGACGAGTTCGAGTTCCAGGCCGCTCTGCAACAGTTTAGAGAGGCGCTGGCGCTACTGGCAGCGGTGGCTCATGCGGATCCATCTGCGTGGGAATATCTACTCGAGGATTGCTGCGGCGTGCCGCTCCATGACAAAGGAGAAACGATTGGAGAGAGCCAAGACACTCCCGCGAGGTTGATGGTCGTCCCGCGAGAGAAGAACGCGAATCTGCTTTACCCAGAAACGTTAAAGGAGGACCTCATTCAGTTCTGTGGCACAAATCAACGTACGGATTCAAGTTCTGAATACGAGGAGGCGTTGAGGAGAATTGCAGCTCTGGATAGCAACTTGCAGCAAGACAAGCCAGGCGTCGACATCCAAGTCCCAATGCAGATGTGGTTCCACGTGGGGATGAGCAAGTCTACAAAGCCAATTGAGGATATTCAGAGCGCCGCGGCGGAGATTCAACGAGGCTGGGAGCGTTCTGGGCACAGTTTGGTCGGGCTTGGAGCGCTGCGATGCACCTTGGTGCTAGAGCCTACGATTGCGATCTTGTCCGACTACGTGATCAATCCGAACATGCGGACACGGTGGAACGGTTGGTGAGGGAGAATAATTGGTTCTCGCAGTTTACGCTGTGGGTGAATTTGGACAGAGAGCTCCGATCTGGCGAGCTGCCCTCGATCAAGACATTGGGACGACTCATGGCGTCTCTATTTGTTAGCGGACGACGGCCGTATGAAGAAATAACTACCAAGTACCACCGCAAGTTTGAGACGCCAGAAGCGAGACCACTTCAAATGGGAACAGTTCGCTTAATATGTGCGTCCTGGCTCGAATCTCGCGAGGTGGAGGCAACGGGCTCAGCTATTGCAGTATGCCGGAATGCCAGAAAACTTTCCATGAGACTGGAAATGCATTCAACTGACGTTGACATTACTCGGCAGTGGTGGAGGTGGATAGCGTACGCGCTCTTCTCAAAGCGAGCGCGTACCAGCTCATCCGTTGAATCTCTCGCATTCACGGCAATTTCAGCCATGAGCGCACAAGATATGGAGGCTTTCGCGGCCATTTTGGCGTCTCACCACCCAGAGGAAGAACTCTTCGGTTGCCCTCGCGGTACAGTAGAGGAGAGAGACGCCACCTTGAAAGATAACGCTTTGATCTACGCTCTGATTAACGATCAAGGTATGCCACGTAAAGCGTCTCGGATCACCCCGCCGTCGGTTGTTCGAACCGTCAGGTGCTTCAGTGACGATGGGGCCAGTGAATGGGTCAACGCGCTTGTTCCCGGGTACGGGCGATGCCTCATTAATCGGGCGGATTTAATTTTTCACGAGAGTACCGAGATTTCTGGTAAGCCGTGCAGCGTGACATCGCTCTGGATCGGATTTGAGAAAGACGACGATGAGCGCCACGTATACCCAGCGATTTCAAACGGATTACCTCGATTTCTGCAGCTTGTCGGCCAAGAGCTGAAGGATTTAACGCTTGAAGGACCGAGGGTGGAGCTACCTGTTGGCGCGATCCTCGAAAGCTGTCCTGTATTGGAGGAGCTGTCACTATGTGGGTACTTCGTGGATGTGAATTTAAATTTCAGCGAGTGCAAAACTGTGCCGCCTGCTTCATTTAATTGTCAGTGGGAGGATATCGCTGCACTTGCTGCAGCTCTGAGTGACAGCACCAATCCAGTGGCCAAGTGCGTACGCCGGCTTCGAGTGCGTTTGATGAATCGGCAAATGAGTTGGGGAGATCACCCAAGCAATTCTGACCATTGAGACTTTGATGCGCACGCGAAAGCGCTTCTGCAGATGCTGGAGGTGAGCCGGAGCTTGGAGTATGTCGACGTCATTGTGTCTGCATCCGATGCACCGGCTGCGTTTGTCGACGGGTTCAAGAGGCACCATCGCACACCTATTAACCGGTCGGTCAAATTCGCTCTAGAGACCAAGCTGGCGTTCCTCAGCGTGGTTTCCGCTCGACGAGAGCCGTTGACTGTTGCCAAGAAGCGGAAGCAATCGGTGTTGAAAACCCATGTGGCGATTGGCCAGCTTGACGAGAACGTACTGTCCAACATATTCGCATTGGCGGCTACTCCGATATACCGTGAAGTGCATTTTGGCGCCCCGCGCGCTGATTTCTGGGAGGAGGAACGCACTCATGTGCTCATCTAGACGACTGACTATTAGCTGCAAACAAACGAGGTACCGAGGTTTATGGGAAATCACCTGAAACAAGCCTTGGTGCGACTCAATGCACACACATTTTGCCCCAGCCACCAATTGTACGTTACTCGGCCTCAGTGCACTTGGAAATGTTTTCATAGTTTTTTTACTTGTGCGAGTGGATATGAATGCTCCTTGACTCCAACTCACAGTGTCTACCTGTAGTTTGTTTGTTCTATGACAGCGCGATTCAACGAGAAATGCGTGTCTCGGGAGCGAAGATTAACACAGTGTACAGTACGAGCAATCGACTTACAAGCAATTCTTACTAAGCTCTCTGTTCAATTCAATCTGTTGCGCTTTTCCCTTCGCGAAATCATGTGATCGCTGTTGACGTTCAGCAACTTGACCCCGTCATCAAGCAGATCCCATCATCAAGCCGAGGGTGGTTGGCATGTACCAGAGTAACCAGTGTACGTACATGTAGGTAGACTAGCTCCCAGCCGACGATCCGCTGCATTTCGAATCCGCTCTTCGCTGTCTCGCTCCTCGAAGACGAGTCCTCATTTCGTGATTCGTCACAAAGCCACGAGCAGCACCTACAACAACAGCCGCATGGTTCCGCCAGAAGACTCTCGCTCGCTCTTGGGTGACCTGAGTGCAGGTGGTCACGTTGCTCTCCTCCGCTGATGCTTTGAGTGCCGCCAGTTCCGACAAGAAGGCAGTGTCGCATCGCTATACAGGTAAGGCCGTGACGCCACGTGAGCTCACTCCAGACTACGAGCCCATCAACGAGATGACCGAGTCCGACAAAGAGGGAGAAGAGGACGAAGAACATTTCGTCAGTTTCGGGGGATCGCTCGAGAGGAGCTCCGCCAGAAGAACCCTTTCTCGACGACAAACATCGAGAAGCAGTTCGCCAAATTGGCAGATGGACAACCCCCCCACTATTTCTACAAGCAGTATAAATCTGCATCGTGGCAAACAAGCCATTGGAAGAAGAAGGCCTACAAGAATTACCATGCATGGTACACGACGAAATACGACTCGACTGACGAAATGAGGCGCCTTTGAGGTGCTACATTCGGCTACAGATAACATGCATTATGTAAGGCTTGAGCTATAGAGTTCCAACCAAAATTTGTGCTATCATCTGCTGGGGTTGAGCGGATAATAAAGCGCTGATTCAGGCAAAATTGTACACGCCAAGTAATGCGGTTCCGGTTTACTTCCGGTGGGGATATTTTGTTATCACTGTGAATGTAATGTCCGCCTACTTCCATGGTTGTAGTCTTCATGCCTTTCGTACGGTGTACTATTGTGAAAACCGCTTTATTTGCCTATTTTTGCTCGTAAATCGATTGGCAATCGCGCAGCCAAGCGATGCATACAGATTTCATACCTGATGTGTACTCTGATTAATTAGGTGATTGAGATCTAATAAGGGGTTTCTACAGATGGGCCTTTTTAGCCGGTTCTCACAATAAGTACGTATCAATGTCCCAACGCGCTTCGTGACTCGAGTTGGTATCATTTCGGTCGTACCAGCATCGCGTGGGCAGCTCGAGCGTGAGAATTCTCCTTCGGAAATCCGAGTGAAAGGAACTCAAGTTCTTTGTCAAGGCCCATCTGTCTGTACGATAGATTGGGATCGACCCGTAAGGGCCAAAGGGGTTTTTAGGCTGATGCTTTCCTCCTCCGCGCCACGGTAGTGAGATGAAAAATATTACTTTGCAATCTGCATCCTACTGCTCAAGTGTCTTCCCAAGTGTCTTCTCGTCTTGCATCCGCCAGCTCGCACCCAGCGCTCGCTTGCGCAAAGCTGTTACTACCTAGGCTACGATATCTGGGGGGGGGGAGCCAGAGCTTTCTGAATCAATGGAATATTTTCCTTGGGCGTTTGAGACGATCCCCCTGTTTGTCATATACGCAAGATGTTGTCGGGATTGTAAATTGAATGCTTTACGGAGCAATATCATATGTGCACAAGAAGGTATCGCTAAATCTGCACTTGAACACGTTCTTCCTCCCAGGCGTCGACACGAGGCTCACGGTAGTAAACCTTTCTAAGAACCGGCGTAGAAGCTTGAGCAAAAATCCGGGAGAGCACGTTCTGGTTCAGCTCGGGTATCAAATGCTTTGCTTGGGGGAGCTCCTGCTTTGGTTTCTTCTTCAACGCTCTTTGATGCGGGAAAATGCTCAAGAAGGCAAGCTTCGTCTCTAATTCAAGTTGAATCGATTGGCGCGTTGGCTGCAGGTGGTGCTTCTTAAACTCGATAGTGCGCGAAAAATCTCGTAGTGGAACGACACTATCAAGAAACACGAGGCTTCGATTTACCTCGAGCATCTGCACAAGCGCAGTGAGGTGGGCGTCGCGGGCAGATTCGTCGTAGATCCGTAATTCGTTATCCCAGCCTCTCCGCCGATTCATCAGTCGAACGTGCAGCCGAGTCAGGCACGTTGCAACAGCATGGTTCGGGTCGCTCAACGCCGCCACGACCTCCGAAATATTGTCCCAGTTGCAACTTGTCATAGGTAATCTCCGATTGTTAGCGCGAAACTCGCGGAGGTTGATCCGTACATCCACGAAGTACCCGTATAGTACCAGCTCTTCCAGGTTGGGGCATTTCTCAAGAATCCACTTCTTATCCAGTGTCGGTCTCGGTCCGTCGAGCGTCAAATACTTCAGGGGGCCTCCGACAGCTTCGATAAACCGGGGCAACCCGGTTGCGATTGAGCGTCGATCCTTATCGAATCCGATTGAAAGCGTCGTCACACCCCTCAAACTCCCTTCTTCGCTGTTAAACTCGTCGAATACTAGATCAGCTCGCTGGACTAGGCAGTGGCCATACCCAGGACCAAGAACGTTCACCAACTCACTGTTCCCATCGTCACTAAAGCTTCTGAGAGAGCGAAGTACCGTCGGAAAACTAGTACCAGAGCCCCTTCCTGGTAGACCTCTGTTGGTCACCTCGAGATATACCAGCGATATACCAGCAATCTTCACGACTTCCTTCCCCATGGGGCCGATTAGTTGGAGCAGTTCGGACGGCTTGGCGTAGGGGTCGGATCCGCGTCGTCGGTTCCGAGTCGAGAGCTCCATTGGCCGGGAGTGCTGCTCTACCACCTCGTTTTCCCCATGCTGAGTCTCCTGCGACGACTGCGACGCGGGGTTCAGCACGGAGGCAAGCGAAAACGGCTCCATCATTGATGAGTGAGGGATTCCGATTTGATGTGAAAACGAGACAAGGGAGAGTCGGTCGACTATACCATGCCATCATGTGTGAGCTATTCTGATCCTACAAAAACATAGTATCAGAAAAGCACAAAAAAAAACATAATGATCAACTTATTTTTTCCTTATTAACCACGTGAGTGGCACCGGCATTGTGTTTGGACGTAATCTGTCGTCGGCTGCAGGTTACGTTGTAGAGGCTTGCCATCACGCGCTCGTTTCGTTAAAAAAAAATGCCGAGGAAACAGCCTAACTGGAGCATGTCGTAGTCGTCGGGTAGTGGAAGTTTTCTTCTCACGTATCCAGAAGAAAATCTTCTCTTTGAGCCACATCTTGAAATTCCACCACCACTCCTGGTGGCTCTTCTCCGGTAGCATCTGCAACTGCCGGCGTTGGTGAGTCGTGGCGGACGGATTGATGGCTGACGCGGTTTTTCCTTCGGTAGTAGTACGGGTCAAAACAACCAGACAGACTACAGTGCTCAGGACAACGTGGGCCCGGCGTTTCTTGGTCTCGATCTGCTGGACGAGTTGCAGAAAATTGTGTACTGGTGTATTTAGCTGATGAACGCCGTGATCAAAACTCCGGACGCCATTGGGTGGCATTACGCCCCAAAAAATAATCGTAATCGCTACAGACTGGTAGGGAGTAGTCGATGATTTGTCCTGGGAGACCGACCAGCTTGCTGGGTTACCGGTCTCACAAACCTGGTTGCATCGAAATCGCAATTATACTAGGAACACCCCGCGACAAAAGCTACGTTCAAACATTTTTCCCGGCTGGGGTTGGCCAAAAGAGATGATGGACACGGTACATGTGGCATGCATAAGTTTTTGCCAGCGTTTGCCCTGATCGATGCCGCTCGAATCTTCGCGCAATTCAGGGCCACTTATTCAGCTGGGGCTACTTCTACCTGCACAACGGCTGTACGACACAATTGATTCTGAAGTGGACCTTCGACTCGAACTCGCTGGCTGACGTGGTCTCGTTAGTCATTGTTAGTAAGATTTCCACCAAAATATCAAAGTCACCCTCAGCCTACCAGTTTACTCGCGATCGATGGTCTGCTCAAGGACCGTATCATGGATGTGGTTGCAGGTGGCCTGTTGCAAGAATTGTGGCACGATTGAAGGACACCTTGATCTGCGCGGCAGCACGGTGATCACGGATATTTTTTAACCCGGACCATTAATGAAGGCGAACTGCTGATGTCGAAGCAACTTCCTGTCACAAGAGCGTAGCCAATCTGCTCTGCTTATCGACTGCTGCAGGCTACTATCGACGCCTCTGCTCAGTCTGTTTCTTCCTACCACGTCTCACGCAGGGAACCTCTGGTCTCCGTGGCTGGTGTCATGATAGCAGTTCCCTCACAAACTTGCAAGATCTGTTCACTGTGAACTGTTGCCGTCAGCGAGGCCGGGGCAGAGCGTGGTCCGCGTCACCATCGGCCAGCCTTAGCTCGCTTTTGCTTCAATTCAGCGTCGTAACCAACCGCCTAGTTCGCCACGAAGTACGACCGATTCTAAATCAACGCAAAATCAAATGAAAATGAATCTTGTGAAATCCGTCGAAATTGCACATGATTTACCCGAATGAGGCACAATCGACATCAATTGGATACTTTTAAGTAATTTAAAAATTAAACGGCTGTGCGTGCAACGGCTTCATGCAAAGAATTAATCCTGTGTCGGCTGCGTAGCAGTATATCTTACGGTACTTGCTAAACCTGTTTGGGCTGGGCTATTAGCTCTTCCTATCCCAGGTCAGAATCTCTCAAGTCCAACAGAACCAGGATACATGTGCGGTGGACCGTATCATTGATTCAGTACACAATAGTACAGTATTGTCACTAAGTTAAGAAATATAGACTAATAACCTATTAGACTATATTCTTCTGGGTCTTTGTCGCGTTCGTGTACAATCAGATCCCATTATTCGCAGTTCGAAGAACTGTCGATTGGGGAAGGTTTTTGGATGACATCGAGCGACATTCGCGCTACATTTGTAGCTTCTCCTGCCGGCGGATGACATCGAACGACATTCATGCTAGACGGGACCATCAGCACATCATAGATAGATAAAGGATATTGAAGCCGACTAGAACAAATAATAAAGGTGCAATTGTGTATATTATAGCTATTTCTAAGCTGTGAGATTCCGAACACTGAAGCTCGACAAGAATGCAATGATTTCTGTTTTACAACGACTGGGCTTCGACCCAAACCACTGAGTTTGCCTAAAGAAAAGTAGTCGAATTTGGGTTCAACATCAAAATCCAAGTTGCCCAAGTAGATATTACTACATTTTACCATAGCTAGCGACACGGCTTGTCAAAAATATTTAATCAACTTCTTCTTCATACGAAAGCATCATGGCCGCGGTGTGATGATAGTGCAGCATTCACCCTGAAAACACGTGCGCTCACGCTGGGCGAGAAGAACTACATGTGCGTTCGCATTCCTGTCGAGAAGTTCTGCTGATGCCGCAAGACTGTAGCGCTAAGTGTGTTTTGCGGTATCACGAACCGTGTGAGTTGAATGGTTATCTATGTGTCTCAATGCGGGTTAGGGTTACAAGCGGGAGGGGGGGGGGGCAGGTGAAAGCGATTTCCAGGATTTCACAAATTCGCCCCTACCGAACCTGGGGCCCCCTTAACTATATGCAAGTCTGGGCTCAACGTAGAGCTAGCCTTGCCCTTTAGCTTTCCAACGAGCCCAACTTCACTTAATGATATTTCGTGCAGCTTTCAGGCCGTTCCATTTCCTAGAGCACTCGTAGAACTTTGGGAATTTGGCGTGGGTGACCTCCGTCCCCGCCCAGTTGCCAGACTGGGCTAGAGTATGTCCATGATATAAAACACGATTTGCATTGGGGTGTTTTTTGCTGTATCAGCAGCAAGAGCCATTCCTGTCGAGGGGATTCAACGAACGACAGATTCGCCAAATGTCGACACACCAGTGAAAGGTGATTTTCCGTAGTGATGTGTGAAGAGCAGGGAATGAATAATTCAATTTGTTTGCACAACGTCTGGGCGTACGTTGTACTGTATAAACATTTGTTGCATAAAAAAGCGACACTGCGTGTTGTGTGTATGCCATACCGTGCAGGTTCGGACGGCTCGGACATTCGGACAACCTTTAAAACTAAATGCTATTAAATGCTCCGTGAAGTGTGGTGCACATAAAATCTTTTGCAATCCTCTTCCATACAGCGGCTGTTTAGTGAACAACGGCTTGGGGACTGCGGCCAACAGCAGCAGCTGCAGCAGCAGCAAGACGTGCGTGATGTCGGCGCCGTGCGGGACGGCGGGTCGTACTGCGGCTGGTCCTCGGGCGGGGTGGTGGCCGTCGAGGCCAGCAGCAGCAGCGGGCTGAGGAGGACGAGGAGGTGGTGGAGGTGGCGGCCAACGGCGGGGTCGACGACATGAGAGGGATGCCTATGGCGGACATCTACTGTGACACTCACTTCGTGTAAGTAGATAACGAGATGGGTGAATGAATCAATGTATGATGTAACTGTGTGTTGGGACCTAACACTGGATCGCGACTACAATTACGTTGTGCTGTGATTGTTGTAGGGCTCAAGAACATGCACCGGTGCATCTTCAAGAACCTTGCCTTCCTGCTGAAGTCGCTGGTAATTCCTGATGCGGTCGTCTAGCTTGCCTTGAGCATACATCCGCTTCAAAACCTTAACAATTGTGCCATGCGACTTTGCTTTGGCGTTCTCAGCCTCCAGGAAAGCAAGAACGTTTGCATCGGCCTCCCGTCCAGAGCTCAGGATGCGTCCCTTTGCTGTGACCTCATCTCCGGTCACGTTGTATCCGGCTGGGAGAAAAACCCGCATAAAGGCCACGGCCACCTTGCCCTCGTGATAGCGCCGCCGGTTTGGACGCGCGCTTGGCAACGGGGGCAGAAACCACTCGTACCACACAGTCGTGAGTGGCTTTGCACGCGAATGCGCACGAGTTGCCGCGCCGCTTGCAGTATCCGACAAAGCGCTGGACGAGCTCGACAGGCTACCAGCTGCTGTTGTCGACGGAGCGGTGGTTACGTCCGATGGGTGCTCAAGCCGCTGCACCCGCTGGTTCAATGCCTTCACTTCGGCTGCTAGCCCTCCAAGGATCTGCGCCTGCTGCTCCAAGAGCAAGGTTTGCCTCCGCACGAGTTCGTCGTCTTTAACACGCCGTGGTGCCGGACTGCGTGGAGTGTCGTTCTTGGACGGCTGTAAGGTACGATGAATAGCCATTGACCATGCAGCAATTTCAGCCTCTGTTGCTTGTACCTGACTTAGTGCTTCTTGAACTCGTTTGATGTACAGTGACTCTGGCCTAAGCCGAAGCATGTCGGGGTAGTGGAGAATGGCGGTGGCGGTAAGTACGTCCACTACATCATCTCGCAAGCTGAGTCTCTCCGTGAACCCCTTCGCAGCCGAGAAAAGCCGGTCTTGAAGTAGGCGAATTCGATGCAGAACCAGAGGATCGAAGTCATCCAGTGTAGGTAGCCGCGGACTAGCTTTTAAATCCCATCCAGCTAACGACTTGCCGACAGTTTGATCTTCCTGCCTCGTGCCAACAATATAATTGAACGCTTTGCTCACAGCACTCATGCTCCAGCCTCCACGGTCTAGAATCCAAGGTGTGGTGATTTTGCTGTCACTATTCGCGTTTTGAGCAGCTTCACGCCGAAATGAATGCGATGATAGCCCTGTCGTCAGGTTAGTACCTTCGGTTTGGCAGACACCACTCCACTTCTGCAGTACGCGATTAACATACGCGTGAATTCCGGGGACTGTCGCTTTTTTTGCAGGTGCTTTTGGGGTCGGCGACTCAGAGTTGGAGGTTGCTGGGCACCTGGTACGCGCATCAAGTAGTTCGAGGAGCGGCGTTTCGCCAATTTCAGTCGGCAGGAGCTCTTGTGTATCCCGAGGAAGTTGATCCATGAGAAACTCGCTTGGAGTCGACTGCATAATTGTAGCCAAAGCTAGTGCGTGAATTGGGCAAGACGAAAAATCGTTTGGGTCGTGAAAAATCGACGCTCCTTGATACGAGGCAGACTTCATGCGCTTAAAGGTGATAAATAGACACCCACCTGTGCACCACGATTAAAAATACACAAGGTCAAAACCAAATTAGGAAAAATAAAAAGACAAGTACTTACCAGGGTAAACAGCGACCTGGTTTTTCACGAGACACATAGTGTCTGAAGACCGACCCAGCAAATACCAAAGAATGTTGAGAAGGGCTGCATCCTGGTAGGCCTGCACAGATACAGCCCCCTTCAATATCGCTAAGCTGAGCGAGCGCAGGTCGCTTTTCGTGCACGGTGGGGCCTGGTGCGTAAAGTCTGTGCCTCGCTTGGAGCAGAGTAGGTGGTTCTTGACGTTGCCAAAGTAGCTGGCGACCGAGTTCTTGGATAGCAGCGAGCCCTTCGAGCTTTCTTTAAATGCTAAATACACTGCAAATTTGTCGAGAACAATGTAGAGAGTATCGCCAGTTGAATCCTACAAACTCATAGATGGCGTTGACGGTGAAGCCCTCGGCGACCGCGAAGCGCTCGAAGGCGTTGAGAGCCGTCGAGCGAGCCCGCTGGGAGTTCCCAGGTATGAGCGCTTTCGTCGACATGAGTCGTTTCTTGAATGGTTAAGCTGCCTCGTCTGTCTGGCGCCCTCAAAATTAATATGTGTCCGAATATTGACGATATTGTCAGAATATTTGACTTACTGACTTTAACTATAGAAATATCAAATATTTTTCAGATGTTCGGACGAAATATGTCCGAATTGTCCGATTTGTTATTTACGGCACAGCATGAGATTTGAGGCACGCCCATTGGCTCACAAAGTATGAGAAAGTCTTCTGATAGGCCAAGCGCTAGTGTACTATTGCAATGCGAAATTCTAGATGTCCGAACGGACACGATATTCTACCATATCGTGTCCCGGGTTTGGGGCATTTTTCGCAGAGCAGACTACTACTTCCGAATTAGGCGGGATGGGACCAATCAGAGCTCTTTGTTGCGGCTCGAAGCGGGACGCTTTAGGGACGACACCCCCTCTTGTCCCGCTGGGATGTTGTGTGGCGCGGGCCGCGGGATACATAAAATTGAAAGGCAAATGTATCGGACTGCATCTCTAACACATTGCCAGGTCCTGGCAATAACCGAACTCGTCCCAATCTCGTCCCGCGATTGCGGGGAGATATAAGACTGGGCCTTACTTCGATTTTGCGTTGGCCATGCTACCGTAACTCGAGCATTTAAACTGTCAATTCGACCTTTTCATTCTGTCATGGGTCATAACTTTTATTATACCCTCCTCTTTCAGACACACGAGAAGATGATTTCACCTTGCGATCGATTTTCTTCTGTATGGATAGTTAATCAGAGAGATTAACTGAAAATCTTGTGCAATTTTCGTGGCATACATTGTTGACAGGCTGGTATTGTGTGAATCCCCACACGTATTGAAATGCGTTTAGGTGTATTAGATTGAACATTCCACTGAGACTTCGCCAAAACCTACTTCAATTATTTTTAACGATAATTGAAGTAGTTTTTTATGTGATCCAAAATGGGAGGTATATCTTGAGTTTTCCGTTCAACGATTTTGTATCCAACGCAAACGCTATCTAGCAGAGAGCCAAAGAGCTGCACCCGATGGTATGTCTTCTCCGGAGAAAAGGCTAGAAGCTAGCGCAAAAAGAATAACGACCGTGTATGAAACTGGAAGGAACCTAGTTCAAATTAATCGAGCTAGGAATGGCTCATGTGGGTCCATTAAAAACCTAGCTGCTGTCGCTCAGGCATTTTATCTACAAAGACTTTGGTTGGTATTATTCTTGCTTTGTGTGAGACTACATTGCGACCAGCAGGGATTCCCCCGAGCTCATTTACTACTGGTGGTGTATTAATTAATACAATTATGCACTACTTGATCCTGTTCTTGTCAAACAACTTCGAAGTACATCGTTACCGATGTTAGTTTAGAACATCCTAATGCTACATGAATACGGTACGGCCAGCTTAATACTTGATAAATGGCAATGGCATACTTGGACGAATTGAAGCAGACATGGGTTTTGTTGTTAGATATTCAGGCGACCCGGACGAAATACGTGTGTGACTGCGCCATGTTGTATCAATCAGCGTTTGAATGCTTCTAAGTTACGTCGTCGCTGTACGCCCCGGATTCCCGCGCGACAGGAAGCCCGAGCGGACGGTATCAAAGCGAAGGGCAAATACCCGGTGTTTCCTGCTCCTACAGGCGATCGAGATCTGCTAGACCTCAGTTATGACGTATCAAATTTGAAACAAATTGCTGGCTTCATCCGTTTTCCCAGCAGGTTCAGTTGAGCAGTTAGCCTGGCAGCGCTAAATCTTCAAATACACGGATTTTTCTTCTTTTGTCTCCTCCGGTAAGTTTCCGAGCAAAACACGGAAAAAGGTTCTGCCTAGGCGTCAGCGGAAGGAAGGAAGGAAAGTACGTTGATTAGCTATTTGTCGATGATCGTTCTGCTAAGTACAAAAGAACTAAAATTAAAACTAAATCCGTGAAATATTGATCCGACGAGCAGGAGGAGCCCGAAGCGTTGAAGTACCAACTCAACTAAACTCTGCGTTTTTCAATCCATCGGAGTGCATATCAGGACCTTAGTCAGGCAAAACAACTGTACTTTAAAATACGGCATTCCGTATGATGCAGCAAACCCGTTGGCCGCATCGCGTGATGTGATGATGAACATTGGGGGGGGTAAGTAAACAAACGTTTTGCGGTGCACGAACTTACGTCATTCTCAAACCGGCCACGAAGTTCCAAAGAGCAGCGAAGAAAACCCTCCTCGACAACTTCAATACCTGCAAATGTGTCGAATGTACCTTTTGCTGGTGGTCGTTGCCTTCGCTGCCTTCATCCAGGGTTTTGTTGCCGCTGAAAGCGCAAAACAAACTTGAAAAACAGCCGCAGTCGCTGATAGTCAATGCCGCGGTCTGAGATGCAAGACTAAAGGACCAGACGTCACCGATGTCAACGACGAAGAGAGAATATGGGCGCCAAACCTCGACAAACTGCGCTCCTTTGCCAAAGAGTCCAATGCTATCAAAAATCTCAAGGAGAGTCCCGTCCTGACCAAGTCGCTGAGCGCTAACCCCTCGCTTTTCAAGAAGGTGGAGACTGACCCTCAGCTCACCAAGGCGTTCGAGGGCGTGCAAAAGGATGCAGCTGTGATGAAGAGGACTAAATTTTTGGAGAGGAACCCTTCGTCGTGAAACTCAGGAGCGAGGTCAGCGATAATCCCAGTGCGCTCATGAGAGAAAACGCGAGGAAGGTCGGCGAGGCCGCGCTGAAATCTTCAAACAAGCCAAGCTTTCTGGACGACGATGTACTCCTCTTCTGGTTGTTCTTGGAGCTAATTGGTGTAGCGATCATACTCGCGATCCCAATTGGGGCTCTTGGCGGCGGTAGTCCAGTGGACCGACTCCAGTAGCCTAAATTCCGACAGGCTTCTTCTAAAGCCCCTTTTATCCAGCCAGCAGCCTCAGAGGAGAGGCGACGTAGTGCGGAGGCCCATCCAAACACAAAGTGAAAGCTATCCACTGCGATCTCTGCAATAAACATGAATGAAGCGTCGTTTTCAGCAGCAAATGCATTTCTGTGTCGTGCCTCGGATTCGGTGGCATTACTCCCCTTGTTGACTACTTCTGCTACCGCTGTCGCTACACGGGAGAAGCATAAGCATTGAGCCTCCGCTGACCACGCTCGACATCTTCGATGTGCTTCACGAGGAAGATATTCGACTACAGTGGTGAGTTCGACTTCAAAACGAAACTCTTCTACTCAATCCATGCTTCGTTTCCTTTTCACATGGATCTCCACTGGAGAAATGAGTGCACATCCTCCAATTCCTAACATGCATCACTCTGCGGAATCACACACGTCACGCGGTCGATGGAGCTATTCCACTACATGCACCACCTTGAGTACAGATGTTGGCAAAGTAATTGCATGCTCGTAAACATTTTGTGGGAGATAACCTTGCCTAGGCACTCAGCGTTCACCCGATTCGAAATAGCAGCAAACACTTCACCCACGCACACGAAGGAGGCCTGAATTGTGTTTTGACCGCAAAAAATACAGCATGCTATCTCTTAGCCTGCAAGCTGATTCTCCTTGACAATTTTAGTACTTCGTCCATCGTTGTGTCGATATGCTGCTGAAGTGGCCGCAATTCTGCTGCTGGGCTCATTCGCCGCGAGGAACGCGCTGAAGTATCCGGTTCACGGTACGAAAAGTGCCGGACGGCCTGAGCGACAAGAAGAATGTAGCGCTCAATGCCCTGCATCAATAGGAGGCTGCCTTGGCAAGCTGGGGATGTCGATCCCAGAGTCTGCAGACGTTGGACTCTCGCTCTGCTTACCAGCTATGTCAGCTATAGAGACTGACAAGCGGCTCTTCGCGACTTCAATCCTTCGAGCATATCTCTGCAGCTCGTGGTGGGTTTCGTCTTGCAGTGAGTTGCCATTTCTTCGGCTGGAAGCTGACAGTGTTACTTGGCAGAAAGCGATTTCTGCCACTGACCGCAGCAAACTCAGATCCAAATCCTTCAACAACTGCGCTTGGGATCCTCTCGCCTTCAAAGCCGACTCGTATTGCTCAACTGGAGTCCGCATGTTACGCGGTGGCTCGGTCGACCCTAGTTGGTTGTTGGTAGACGGACCCGCGAAGTTGCGGAGTCTGTTTCGTTGTTGTCATCGACGACAATGACGTTACCACATTTCGGCTGGTCCGAAGAAGAATGAGCTTGCTCCTGTGTCGCCTGCTTCCTGCGACTTTTCTTCATTTGATGTCGTGAGGTAGCGCCCGAGCTTTCGTCCGAGAAATACTCAATCAGGTCCGTGTCTTCTCCCGATTCGAAAACGACTGGGCGCTTTGGGGTGGCCTTGCCCCGACGAATTTCTCCAGCCACGGCTTCGGTCGCGCGAGGCGCCGACTTTTCTCGAGAGGACGAGCGGCGTACGTTAGGATTCACTCGCTGATCAGCATTTGGGATCAAATAGCGTGCACCACCTGCAGTTTCATATACAGAGTTATGCTCAAGATCGCCTTACTGAAGCAAGAAGCACTAACAACGCACCCTTTTCAAGCACGTAGGCGTACAGCTCGCCTTCGCCCACGACAAAGTCTTCGCCACGTTTCGCCTCCTCGCCTTTAGCTTTCCCTCCCGGTAGATAGTAGCGTTTGTGCTCTTCCAGCCCTTTGGGCTCGCACACCTCCCAGCCTCGAGCCTTGAGAACCTTCACGACTTCCGCCCCCGCGATGCCGATTTCCTTGAGCAGTTCCAATGGCGATCGACTATCGGACGAGTCGACTCCGCGTCTTCGGCTTCTGGAATTTTGTCGTGGGGACGGAGTTTGGCGCTCGGACGCCTCGGACGAAGACCGCGAAGGGTGGATGAACGACGTCTCCATCGTCGTCACCACAAGTGAAACGTTGACCAACAAAGGACAGCTCTGAAGTATAAACGGAGGCAGATGTACCAAGTTATTCTGGAGCGCCTCAAGCGTTGATCTAAAAGTATACTTAAGTGAGAAAAGTACACAATCAAATCAAGATCAGGCCCACATCAAAATCTAAAAGAGGCCCGCATCAAAACAGCTATCCACCGCCTATCCACGTTACAGTGCTACAGTGCTGTAGTCATATCGGTACATCCACCATTGGCTCTCAGGCAAGGCTCTCAGGCAGAAGCGCCGCCCGACTCAAGGCTTACGACTCGTGAGTCACAATCAAGAAGCAGCAGAAGGGCGGCCACACACCCGTGCCCACGCGCACAGCCCAGTCCCAGCAGCAGCAAGAGGTGCGCGAAGCCTTCGCTGCCTGCTCGAGCACCGAGAGCGCGGAGCCACTGTGTTGCGTGTGCGAGCCCCGTCGCCTGAAAGCCAAGCGCGGCGTCGTCGCCACAGCCCGGCCAAGCACCACCAGTGTCAGCTCAGTCAGCGGCCCCGTCGCTGCTGTCTACCCGAGAGCCACCAACAGCAGCAGCAGCTGCCGTAGCGAGAGAAGCCCGGCACTACCGTCTATCCGAAGAACGCCAGCAGCAGCAAGTAGAAGAGAGCCCGGGTGCAGCGCCGCCGCTGCCACCTACCTGAGCAGCACTGCCTACAGCAGCAAGACGAAACACAGCACTGTAGCCACCGCTAGAAGAGAAGATGGACCCAATACTCAAGGCAAACATTTGGAACGACGGCTACTTGATTGGCAACCTACATTTGTCTGCTGCTACTTTGAAGTCCGCTCTTGCTGAGTTGAAAGCCCTAGAGTTCCGACCAATCTTCGGTGAAGTGTACGAATTGGAGCGCGACTCCAAGCGGCTCCAAGCAGGTATCACGGTCTTTGGCCCCGCCATCGAGAAAATTTACAAGCGCATCAAACGAATTGTGAAAGAGTCGGAGGATGAGTGGTATACGAAGCGCAAGTTGTGGGCGGCTCTTAAGTCACTTCCCGGTGGTCTACGACAAGGTCTTCACCGAGACTTCCCCTCCTTTGAGACTAGCAAGGCTCTTTTAGAGAAAGGTGTGGTGCAGGCGTCAGTGATAATATCGCTGATGCCGAACACCTAGTTTTACATCTATCCTGGGTGGCGCCTACGTGGACCGTGACAAATGCACTGCCGTGCCGCTTGATGCGGGCAATTTCCTGCTTTTCCGTGGCGACCTAGTGCATGCTGGTGCTGAGTTCAAGGAGGAGAACATTAGGCTGCATTGCTACGTGCGAGTCCGCGGGATCAAGCAGAAGGCGGATGCTACAGAAGCGTCAGTGTTCAACACGTACATGTGTGAGTTCTGCAATATGCAATGCGATTCTCGCCGTCATCTTAGCAACCACCGCCGCTTCTGTAAGAACAACCCCGACAGAGAGAAGACAAAGGAAAAAAGGGAAAAGGCGGACGACCAAGGTGGGTATTGCAGTATTTGTGATATTCCATACAAGAAACGAAGTGCATACCATCAGCACAACCACCGACGCCACCCAAAGAAGCCGAAACGAACCGTTCGCGGGGATCTCGACGCGCGTGAAGACGGCGATCTGGAGGACGACAGTGAGGCTGTTGACGGTGACGGTCGCGTGGCAAGCAGCGACGAGGCCGAAGCTGAGAGCGACATCGAGGATGAAGTCAGTAGTGATGACGAAGAAAGCAGCGAGGAGGAGCAGAGCAGTGAAGAAGAGGACAGCAGTGGAAAGGAGGACAGCAGTGATGACGAAGAGTAAAGAGAATAGAAGAAAACCTCTGCAATACAGTGACTGCGTTTTAAATTCACTGAAATTTAGTTTGCTGATGACTTACTTGTATTCTTATTGTTACTGCTCAGTATTGTCAGCGATATAAACTGTCAGTGTCAGCGATCCAAAATGTCAGTGTTAGCTATCCATACTGGCAATGTCAGCGATCCATACTGTCAGTGTTAGCGATCCATACTGTCAGTGTCAGCGATCCATACTGTCATTGTCAGAGTTACAACCTGGATTTACAATTGGCCGGCATGCTGACGGCGGCGAGGACAAGAACAGCGAGTGCTGCGAGGACGACAGGAGCCATGAGCGCAGCGAGGACGACAAGCGGTAAGTACAGCGACGATAGCGATCAGTACAAGGACGACGAGGACGGCAAGAGCCTCAGACCAAGATGCATGTGTAGGAGAGGGCAGACTTCGCCTTCTCCCTTGAGCCAGAGAAATCGTAGTACGAGAGCGTCAGTCGCGACACCGGCCTGGTGCACGCGATTGCAACACGACTGTAGTTATACGTACCAGAGCGAGCATTGACGCTTACGTGTCGGTGGTGACTCCGGAGGAACAGTGAGTATTGCAGCCTCACGGCGTTGCAACCCCGGTATTGCAGCCCGGTTCCAGACTTCTGTCGCCGCCCAGAGGTAATTAGCAGCCCCAAGAGGTGACAGAGAGAGAGCAAGTGAGATCACCGAGGCAGGAAGTCGGGTCAGCGCTAAACACCTCCGGCGTTCCCAACTGACCCAGAGTCTGTACGAGGAACGAGGCGGTCAACCCAATTGCGTATCTGCGTGTGTTGATTAGATTGTGGTCGCCACCTTAGCCACCAGACACCGAGCTAAAGTACACGGCTCAGGACTGGCACAGACCAAGGGACGGGCAGGCGTAAGGTGTCGATTGTTACTTCAGCGTCAGTGTTAGCGATCCATAATGTCAGCTTCAGCGATCCATACTGGCAGTGTCATCCATTCATACTGCAAACTAAAAATAATAGGTTCTCCAGCTAACCCCTACTAAGCTGCAGGCGATATGATTAATAATTTGCATCCGTTTTATGTTGAATTATCGCTAGAAAGGTGTGAGGCAGTGAATAGTACTCACCAAGCGGGAAAGCACCAATACGCGGTGTAGAAGAATGTTGAAGGTCTTTTTGTAAAATTCACCTCTTCAAGATCGGTATATTATCTTTGTTTATTTAAAAGCTCAAGACATAGCCATATTGTTTCTTAGAACGTTAGAAACCTAGCTGGGTACGTTTAAGTGCTGGTGAAAGAATTGTAAAGTGGAGCGATAGAGTACAGCTTCAAAATACATCCTGATATTTTGACTCATTAAAAATGGTATTGGATCTCTAGTGCGCTTCTTGCCACAGGAGGGCGGCCTGATCGGTATGGCTGCCAAACAATACCTTGCCCAAATGGCGTGGCGTGGGCCGTGTTGGACGCGAGCATTCGAGAAGCCCCCCAGATGTGGGAAATCCCCCAATTGGTCGCGTTGAAGATCGTAGGCAGTTGGGGACTTTCGGTTTGCTGGACGACTGTTGGCCCTTGAAAGTAGGTCTGCTGCGCGTTGAACGGAAACTGTGGGAGTACAGTGGCCGAGTCGGCACATGTGAAGTTGTCAGATGCAGTCTCACTTGGAGTCACAGTTGATGGCGGTAGTGTCGGCTGTGTTGCAATAGGAACTTCCACGGTTGTACGACCTTCCTCGGTTTGGCCTCGCTGCTTCTTGCGTACTCGACGGTCATTAAGCCGGTCACAGCACCGCCCACCCGAATACCGTCTATCGCCTCTTAGCATCTGTGCGCCAAGTACGTGACAGCAATGCCCCATTTTCGCGAAATACCGACATTCACATGTGCCCTCGGTAATGTCCACAGTCCACCCTTCTGCTGGCATCTTCATTCGATGAGCTGTGGCGAAGTGGATCCGCGAAATTTGCAGATCGCGGGGGTCCTCTTGCACACGGCGCCCGAACTGCCGACTAACGGAGGGGGTACTCCGATCTTCCGTGAAGTTGCTGATCCTCACCTTGCGTACCCGTCGGTGGGCTGGATCGCTCTTCGGGTGATCTCGAGAAGACGCGCTTGGGGTTCAGTCTCGGACTGTCTGGTGGACAGCGGGAACTTGTGGCAGCAACGCGGATATGCTTCACGCTGTGCCGGAGTAGTTGTGGCGGTTTCGATCTGGGGTTGTCTAGATCGACACTCGCCGACCAGGTGTGATCTTGGCCTGAGGTTGCCTTGTGGTCGGTGTGTGACCTTCCTTTCCTTTCCTTGCTTGCCGCTTCCTCTAGCGGTGGGCAGAAGTGAGGGTTGACGGACGCTGGGTCAAGCTATCCTGGCGTCCGAGGTTCCTTGATCTTGGGGTGTAAGTCGACTTGCGTAGCGTCGGGTGGGCCAAAGTATATCCCGTGCCCGGTATTGCGAAGGCGAAGACCACTTGTGAAGAAGGAGGTAAAATCAACTCTGTTTAAAATGTTAGCTTGTTTTAAGTCCTTGTCCTATCGTTCTCCTGCACTCCTGCGCTCGTGCAGTCTGTGCGCGTGCTCTCTAGCTCCCTTGAACGTTGGTGGTGTCGCTGGCTCTCTGCCCGGTGTCTGCGCAATCCGTGCGGTCGAGATCATCACTCTTTCTCCAAGATCGCGTCATCCCCGCCAAGATCGATATCGTCGACTTGGATCGATTACGCCGGGGTTTGGCTCTCAAGCACCTCCAGAGATGTTGTTCACCTTGATGTTGCCCCCTTGACCTTCTTGCTGGTTACTATCGTGCCAGACTACGCGTCGCCACGCTTTGCCGATCTTGGTCCACACTGTCGATCTTGGCCATCTTGTTGATCTTGGGTATCCGCGCGAAAATATCTCCATCCACTACACCACAGAGCCATATACAGTGACCACTTCCATGCGTGATTGTGCAGAGCGGAAGCCTTGCGCCGTTGCCGTCGTCCAAGCCTCTCCTGCAACTGACCTGTTGTCTTGCTCGTGATAAGCCGCACAAAAGCCTGATTGGAAGCTTCTGCCAAACGCTTCGTCTCACTGTTGAAGGAGCTCAATTGAACAATTCTCACAATACGCGCCTCGCCCGTCTCGTACAGCACTAACTGCTGGGCATGGACTAATTTTCGGGCCGTGTTCACTAGTGTCGAAGGTGGGTTTCCAATCGACGCGGCAGGTTTGAAATTATCTGCCGTCACATCTTCACATATCACTGAAAGTTTTCGAAGCAGCCGCTGGGTGTCGAACATCTTCTGCATCAAATGTCGTTTGACACTAGCATTGAACGTTTCACACGGGTTATTCGTTGTAGCGTAGCCAGGGGGTGTGTGAAAGGCTTGCCAACGCCAGTAACGACTTAGAATCCACTGTTTCTCGAAGTAATTGGCAAAATCTTGGAGAACTCGGACTTTTCGCCATTGTGCCAGAATCGTATCACGAATTTGATAGAACTCCATGAGGCTCGCTGAAAAGTGCATCGCAATAATGCCCTTGTAAACCATAGCACCGGCAGCATCATCAAGCTGGCGTGTTCGCTTTCTCACGTTGTAAAGTACATGAAAGAAGCACATTAAAAATGTGGCACCTCGGAATTGAGGTGAGCTCTGCAGTGCATTGTACTGGGCATCTTCTGCATCGCCAAGAACCGCATCGATCTTGGGATACTGGGAGAACAACTTGTGGTATACTTGCAACACGGCCGCACGAACTGAGGAGAACTCTACGTGAGTCAAGCGGCTAACGACAAATACAGCCGCCAGGTGATACTTTCTGGAGTAGTCGCTAAATCCACACGTAATGACCGGGTAACCGATCTCACTGAGCTTGAATGTAGCATCGAGATGAAACAAAGCAAAAATATTCGACTCTTGGAAACTTCTCAACTTCTCCAGCAGGCCCACCGTCGACACACCCAACACCAAAGCATCGTCGTCTTCACCCTTCCCGATACGAGGAAAACCATCGTCATCCAGAGTGGCTCCAAACATGAACGCTTTGTCTGCATCTATTCCAGAGTGTAAGGGGAACTCGCGCACCAATTTCTGCAGCGATTGAACCGAGTTTCGCTCTCCATGCTTCGCTCGCAAGCTTTTGACGCATCGAGCGACCTGTTCATACGTAGGCACCCCGTTCAGCGGCGGAGCTTCGCTGTAGCGACGCAGCCCTGACCAAATGTGCCGCGGCGCCAAACCAGTTTCATCCATGTCTCCGATGTACGTTCGCATTGCAGGGGTGATCACCGCACGATGCACCCCACCGCATCCAGCACTTCCACGAGTATGCTCAACTGCTGTACCAAGGATTCTCCATGCATTTGTGCTTGGGCACTGCCACACCTTCCATACTTTCACGCACATGGGCTTCTTGTTTCCCTTGGGCACGGCTAACGCGATGCATGTAACACTTGAGCACCGTATGCGCCTTTCATCCATTTCGTGGTCACCTGGGCAGATTTGGCACGTCTCCTTAACACGCTTGACGTAGGCACTGGAGCAGCAGATTCTCTCGAGTCGCTCTTTTACGTAGCTTTCAGTGTTCTGCCCGGAAGCGACGATTTCCCACATAGTTCTCTCGTCGCGCGTCTCGTGTCTTTCAGCGTTCTTGTAGCGCAGTTGGCGGAGAGCGGTGGACAACTTATAGTCTCGTCTGCTCTTCTCGACTTCTGCGCAAGTTGATCACTCCTGGCCTTTCATTTTAATGTGTGATCACTGTATTTTAGGAGAAGTCTAATATACAGTGGACCACACTACCATCAAATTTGTTTTGATTCGGTCCGAATAGTGTTTGATTTTCGACAATTACGCAGTCTGGTTTTGACCAAGTCTTTTTGTGTTTGATCGTGCCCCATAAGTGTTTGATTTTGCCCCGAACGTGTTTGATTTCAACCCAGTCTCATACTTAAGTACTTGATTTCAGTGTAACATAAAATCGGGCAGAATTAGCAGCAGAATTAGAAATCTGCAGGGCAGGATTATCCGACTGCAAGTGTTGCAGGATGCGGTGCCACGCCGCGTTCTGGGCCTTCGTGCAGCAGCACGGCACGGCGCACGCGGTCACGATCGCCACGCACCGAGACGAGGACGCGGCCAAGATGACCAAGTGGCTGCTGAACCGCCAGGGCAAGCAGCTCCGGAACTTGTGGCTCGCGCTGTCGCCGGCCGAGCGCCAGGAGCTGATGGAAGCGATGCCTGACCCGATTTTCCCCACGACGGAGAACGGTATCTACGACGAGAGGCAGGACCGGAAGATCAGATACTTCCAAGAGCTGCACAGCGCCCAGCAGGCAGCAAGCTCTGCTACTTCAGCAGAGAGCAGAATTGATAACTCTGCACCAGCGGAGACGTCATTCATCAGTTCTGCAGCAAGTACTTCAGAAGAAGTGCAATCTTCAAGACATCCTCCGAGGACTAGAAGCCGTGGTGCGGGTCACAATGAGGCTGAACAGGTGACGGACGACATGTCTGCAGAGTTGTCGGTGGCAGAAGATTTGTCAAGTGGCGAAACTTCTGCACAGGAACCGAGGCGCAAACGACGCAAGAAGCTCGTCACAAGGAGCAAGAAGACTCCTGACCAAGCCACTCGTCAAGGCCGACAGCTACTCGTGCCGAGTATAAGAGTCCGTGGTGGTCAACAAATGGTGTCAGAACTGCCCACTGCTCGTCGAAGCCGCAGTCAACGCGAAGAATTAACCCGTGCAAGCACAACTCACGAGCTCAGTCAGCAGCCAGAGGTGACTGGGTACGAGATGGCGCTAAGTGCTCGAGGCTGGCGTGCTCAGTTGCTGAAGGACGTGGATCTGCACTTACTTCGGGCTGTGGCAGAAATTGCAGGCTGTCTTGAATCAACTGAGGGGCTGAATTCGGGTGAAGCGGTTGGAATCGACTTGACGCAAGCTCTGAGAGAGTTGGAGATGGCAGCGGGAGAGTTCAAGCGGCGCAGAGGCGACTGTCGTCCCTGGTCGCAGCTACAGTCGCTCAGGCTGAAAGTTTCTCTGGTGTAGAGGGAACAAACTCCGTGCACGGTATCAATACGCCTCGGTTCGTGTCAACGGGTCAAGGCAGTTTGGTGCTCATGAGCGATATCGAGTGGTATCTGCTGATGATGAGCGAAGCTGTGCGTCGATATCGCCGGGCGATCGGTCAGTGTGGGCTGTCTACTGCTCTAGATGGACAGGCAGATGACTCCGCCGATTTGTGGCCGTTACAGCTACACATTGAAGGGCTGATGGCAGAGCTGAAGGAGCTGTCCGCGAGTATTTATGCCCAGGCTAAACACCAACTCGCTGGTACTTAAGTACTTTTAAGTATGTCGCAGTTTGCTGAGGAAAAACTCCTAATGGTGGCTTAGTTTTCGTTGCCAGACTCAATGAGACCAAACATTTGTTCATCTTGTTATGACCTTAATTAAAGTGACGCACCTCCTCTCATCTTAGGACATTGATCTCCACTGGAACTCGGGCGAAATGAGCGCCTGATCGAACACTTGACTCACGTCCTCAAAGCTTCCCAGCAGACGCAGCATTGGGGTCAACATGTCGCTCTGTGATATCACGCTCGTCACGCGGCTGGTCGAACTATCCCAGTCAAAGCGAGCCGAACCACGCATCACGATGCGCTGACCCACAAGTTTGCACGCCAAGCTACTGCTTTTCTTCAGGTAAGGAAACACGTTGCTCAACGTTCGATTCGTGATCGTCACGCTTGTTGTCATGGTCGCATTTAGCGACATCTTGCTGCTCTTTTGCAAGTTTTCTAGCTCCACTTCGACGTCGTCGAACCATCGCAGAAAGCACCAGCTCCTCCGCATGGCCTCGATGCCATATTCCGTGTTGAAGACAACGTCTGTAGCCATCGTGGTGCGCACGAAATCTAGCTGGACGGTTCTGACATTTGCGCTCGCGTGGAGTCCGTGGCGAAATTGTCGGAAATAGTCCGCGACTACATCCCAGAGGCCCTTCTTGGTCGTAACACCTGCGGGTAAGCCAAGACGTTGGTACCTCAGCGTGTGAATCTCTGCCCAAAGCTGCTGCGTGTCCTTCTCGCGAGTTGGAAGCAGATCTGCTTGCTTCTTTCTGTATCGCTCTTGGTTTGGGCGATGTTGTATTCGTCCAACGTGCCCACTGAGCCCCAGGAATTGAGGGATCGTAGCCTCGCCACTGGCGAGAATTTGTTGCGACTTGGAGCTGAAACTCGTTGGGGTCTTTTGCCTCTTGTAGTGTTGATCTTTCGATGTGGCGTGCGGTGGATGGCTTTGTGTAACTCCACGTGTTTGCTTACGGGGTAGTGGCGGATCCTGACGACTGGCAACGATGATGACGTTGTCATCATCGTTGGCTGCCCGCGTGGAGTTTTGAGCCAAACTTGCAACGACTTCATCACTCAGGAGGTGGCTGTTCGGTGGCCGAAGAGTGCTGGACTGCATGGCAGCTAGACGGGAGGTTTGCGTACGGGGTCGGGAAATGTGAAGTGGCCACTCGAAGCCAATAATTTCTCGTGGTCCCAACGTCTTACTTAAGTAAGAAGTAATGCTCGTAATCTATCGATCTTCATAATCACCGAAGAAAACCGTGTGCAAAGGAACACAAACACCACTGGCCGCCAACACGAATGAAAAAAAAGCAGTGAAGTATACACTTCTTAGTGAGAATCGAACACGACTTAACTGCCTTCATACTAGAAGGGCTTCATCAGCCTGGTCAACGCGTAGTCAAGATAGCCTTAAATGTTGCTGTCCAAATCAGAACCACTACAAACGGAAATGAATACGACTCTTTCAATTATGTTGCAGCATCGATCTCCACTGGAATTCGGGGGAAATGAGTGCGTGCTCAAACACTCGACTTACGTCCTCCAAATTCCACAGCAATCGCAACGTAGGCGTCACCATGTCACTCTGCGAAATCACACTCGAAAAGCGTCCGATTGAATTGTTCCACCCAAAGCTGGTCGAGCCGCGCATGACGATGCGTTGTCCCGCCAATTTGTCGGCCAATTTCCTGTCGGCCACGGAGCTGAGTAGGTGCGAAAACACGTTGGCGAGAGTTCGGTGCGTGATCGTGACGCTGGTTTTCGTGACGGCAAGGACCGAGTCTTCCGTGGTTTTGTGCAGACTCGTCAGCTCCACTTCGACTGCGTCGAACCATTGCGAGAAGCACCAGCTTTTGACCATGGGCCCCGGGCCGTACTCCGTGTTGAAGACGCCGTCCGGAGCCATCTTTGTCTGTACGAATCGCATTTGATCCCTGGTGAGCTGGGACCCGTAGCGGAAGAGGCGAAAATAGTGGCCCGCTGTACTCCACACATCGCATTCAGCCGATGGTCTGACTGCAGAAATGCGGTGCTCCAGCGCGTTGACCTCGGATCGTAGCAGCTGGACTTTGCTTCCGAGGATGCTGACCAAATTGGTTTGCTGTGTCTCGGGCTGTCGAACGATATAATGGCCACGGCCTTCACTCTGCTGGATCTCGGAGCCGAAATGTGTTCTATCGCCATTCGGATACTGGCTCAGCTGGAACTGGCACGGGTCATGGTTGGATTCACGATGAGCTTCACCTCGTTGGCCTGGGTTCGTGGAAAACCGGAAACTGCGGTCGGACTTGTCAGCACGACCGCTATTTGCACGCGAGACGCACTTGACTCTTCCAAGTACTTCGTCGCTTAGGAGGTTGGCGTTGGGTGGGAGGAGGATGCTGCCACTGCCCATTGTTGACCAACTCGCTCCGAATGGCAAGAACTGGAACTGGAGTTCAAGGGAACCATTCGCGAAGAGCCCAGTCGTAATCAATTCAAGAATAATCCAAGTCAATCACGAAGGTACATCTGACTGTAAATACTACAGATATGTGCAGTATATAGATTGGTGGTCGGCGATCTGGAGCCGGAAACGATGCACACCGGGCACAAGCACGCAGCCAACTGTATTTGCTTACAGAAGTACCACACTAAGCCAGAAGGACGTGTTCTAGCCGCATTCACTACGTGAATATATGTATGGCGACTACGGTGCACTGTACTTGAATGCTGTTCTATCATTCTCCAGTTTCTTCATTGGCAAGCAGTCAACGTAAACTGTACTGTGTTTTTTTGTGCAAATTTGGAATGGACCAAGAAATGATAAGATACTCGCTTGTGCTAGACGAACTCCAATAAAGGATACACGAACAAATTGTATTCTTTCTTCGACTACTGAAGTAATATGACGAGCGGACTCGAAAAATGCACCAACGACGCACAAGCTCCTCAAACGAACCGCCCTCAAAGCCAATGCAAAGACAACCAGAACACGGTGCAGTAGAAAAGCGCAAGTTGAAGTCGTGTCGTCCGCCCGCGTTATGTGGCGCACACCATCTGTCTCCCCCGTCCAAACCGATAAAAGATACGTGTCAACGCGGGCGGAATCTCATTGCCCAAGTCGCCGTCCAAAGCCCAAGGCTCCCTCCCAGTAGACCTCTCCCCCCCCCCCCATACACAGCAAGCCATGGCGTCGGGCCACGCCACCGTGAAGGCAGTCCTGTCGGGCGACACGCTGGTGCTCATGGGCGCGGCCACCAACGGCCCGCCGCCCGAGCTCATGCTGACGCTGTCGTCGCTGCAGGCGCCGCGGCTGGCGCGCTCGCCCGAGCAGAGCAGCGAGCCGTACGCGTGGGCGTCGCGCGAGCACCTGCGCCGCCTCTGCGTCGGCAAGCAGGTGCGCTTCAAGGTCGAGTACCGCGTGGCCGCCATCAGCCGCGACTTCGGCTCCGTGTGGCTGCCGCCCAACGCGCGCGGCGTGGAGGAGAACCTGTGCGTCATCCAGGCGCGCACGGGCTACGCCAAGGTCAAGACGCCCGAGCAGTCGCGCGACGGCACGTGCGTGGACATCGAGAAGATGCTGCAGCAGGAGCAAGTGGCCATCAGCGAGAAGAAGGGCATGTACGCCGACGCGGACGCCGAGTCCAACGCCACGGTGCAGTGGCACGGCGCCGACGCCGCCGCGCTCGTGAGCGAGTACAAGGGCAAGCTCGTGCCCGCCATCGTGGAGGCCGTGCGCGACGGCGCGTCGCTGCGCGTGATCCTCAAGCCCTCGCTGCAGCTCGTCAACTTCGGCCTCTCCGGCGTGCAGTGCCCGCGCGTAAACCCGCCGATGAACGCGGCCACGGAGGGCGACGGAGAGAACGCGGCGCCCGTGGGCCCCGCGCCGCACGCGCGCGAAGCCAAGCACTTCACGGAGGTGCGTCTGCTGCACCGCGACGTGGAGCTCAAGCTCGAGGGCGTGGACAAGTACGGCAACCTCTTCGGCAGCGTCGTGCACCCGTCGGGCCGCAACATCAGCGTCGAGCTGCTCAAGAACGGCTTTGGCCGCATGGCCGACTGGAGCTCGGCCTTCACCAGCGCCTCGGCGCGCGCCTCCATGCGCACGGCCGAGAAGGAGGCCAAGCAGCAGAAGCTGCGCGTGTGGCGCGACTACGAGGCGCCCGTGCTGCAGTCGGACAAGCACATCACGGGCACCGTGGTGGAGATCATCAGCGGCGACTGCCTCGTGGTCTACGTGCCCGATGCGGCCACGCCCGCCGAGCAGGAGAAGCGCATCTACCTCAGCTCGCTGCGCGCGCCGCGTCTCGGCAACGCGCGTCGCCAGGAGCCCAACGCGCCGTACGCCGCCGAGGCGAAGGAGTTCCTGCGCCACCGCGCCATCTCCAAGACCGTGCACATTGAGGTGGAGTACGAGAAGCCCAGCCCGTCCGGCCAGGGCGACGTCATGACGTTCGCCTCCGTGTTCCTCGAGCCGACGGCCAACGCGCTGAAGAAGAACCCGTCGGCCAAGGGCGCCAACCTCGCTGTCGACGTCGTGGCCGCTGGTCTGGCTGAGGTGGTGCGCCACCGCCCCGACGAGGAGAAGAGCGAGTACTACGACGACCTGGTGACGGCCGAGACCAAGGCGCAGACGCAGAAGAAGAACCTGCACTCCACCAAGGAGCCGCCTGCCACCGAGCGCCGCGTGACTGACCTGTGTTTCGATGCCACCAAGGCCAAGCAGTTCCTGCCCTTCCTGACGCGTGAGCGCTCGACGCGCGCGGTCGTGGAGCACGTGTACTCGGCTACGCGCGTGAAGCTGTTCGTCCCCAAGGAGAACTGTCTGATCAACTTTGTGGTTGCCGGCATCAAGTGCCCGCAGCCTGCCCGTCACGGAGCCCAGGGTGTGATTGTTGCCCCCGCTGAGCCTCTGGGCGAGGAGGCCAAGCTGTTCACCAAGCGCAATGTGATGCAGCGCGAGGTTATGGTGGAGATCGAGGACATGGACCGTGGCGGCAACGCCTTCGGTCCTCTGTTTGTGGTGCCCAGCGGCGGCAAGCCTCAGCGCGACGACCAGCACAACTTTGGCGTGCGTCTTCTGGACGAGGGTCTGGCGTGGGTCGACTCATTTAGTGTGGAGCGGACGGCGCTTGGCAACGTGCTGCAGCGCGCCGAGGAGCGTGCCAAGGCCCAGAAGAAGAAGTACTGGGCCACGCACGACGCCCAGGCTCAGGCCAAGGCTGCCCAGGCGAAGCAGGTCAAGACGAAGGACGACGTGATCCCGCGCGTGAAGCTCTCGGAGATCGTGAACGGCACGCACTTCTTCATTCAGAACGTGGGCGACCGCAACTGCGCGGCTGTGGAGGAGAAGATGAAGGCGTTCACGCGCACGCACGGACTGGCAGGCAAGGCCTTCGAGGTGCGTCGCAACGCTGTGTGCGCCGCTCTGTTCGATGACGGCAATGGCCCCGCCTGGAACCGCGCCAAGGTCGAGTACGTGCACCCGGACGGCTCCGCCCGCGTCCGCTTCCTCGACTACGGTAACGAGGCCACCGTGACGGCCAACCGTCTCCGCCCGCTCGACGCCGATGTGCTGCAGCTCCCCCCTCAGGCCAAGGAGGCCGTGTTCTCCTGGATCAAGCCGCTGGCCGCCACGGAAGAGTTTGGTTCCGACGCTGCCATGCGTCTCGGCGAGGTTGCGTGGGGCAAGACCCTTTCGTGCCGCGTTCACAGCACCGAGGACCACGGCCGCCTCCAGGTCTCGCTGTACCTGCCCGACGGCAAGAGTGTTGCCGAGAACCTGCTGGAAGCCGGACTGCTACGCACTGATCGCAAGGCTCTGCGCTCCGTGTTGCCGTTCCAGAAGCCGGTTGTCGACGGCCTGCTCAACGCACAGGAGATCGCCAAGCAGCAGCGTCGTTGCCTGTGGCAGTACGGCGACATCGAGTCTGACGACGAGCAGGGCCTCTAGACGTGTCGAAAGACCAACCATAGGAGTTCATAGCACTTTCAACTCGACGTAAAAATGTAAAGAAACTTAAGGAAGTGATTGACAACTACGCAAACGTTCTTGAAGCGAGTAGCTACGCATACTGTATCACTCGAGCGCAGGCATGTCGTCAAACTCCTCGGCCTCCGCTTTCAGTTTCTCCTGCTTTTCAAGCTTCTTGTTCTTGGCCTGCAGGCGGTCAAAGATCTTCTCCTTGTAGAGCTTCTTCTCGTCCTCTTTGTACTTCGCTGCGTACTTGTTCAGCAGCGCCTGCACACAACGTCAGGTCAGTGAACGAACGAATGCAATCACTTTAAAACAACCATAGGCAGGCAGGCATACGTGGTTCCGCTTGAGGTCGGCCATCGCGTGCAGCATCTTTTTGTCATCGTCACCAAGAAGCTCCTTAGCTTTCTCCAGACTCTTCTCAGCCTCATTAACATACTCGTAGCCCTTGTCGACGATCCAGAACTCGCCCTTCTTCTCCTTCTCAAGCTCAGCCTTCAGCTTCTCTGTGAACACGAGGCCACGACGGAAGTGGCCCTTGCTGTTCTTCGGGTCAATGAGGATGGCCTAGGCAAGCAACACACGGTCAATTTTGGTGATGATCGGCGACACTTTGCATGAAACTTCTACCTGATCGCAGTCCCAGAGGGCATCCTCGATCTTCGCAAGCTTGATCTTACACAGTGCTCGGTTTAGGTACAGCACCAGCTTCACTTTGTTGACCTTGTCCTTGTCTTCCTGGGACACAAAGTTCTCCCATTCCTCTTTTGCGTAGAAGATGTGCACGAAACCCTACAAACAGTCAATCGCCATAAGCATGGGTAGTCCCATAATACATTCCGCAGATAGGCTTACCGAGTCGTAGCACTTTTGAGCCTGATCGTAGTCCTTCTTCGCGATCAACGCGTTGCCCTTTTCCTTCTGCTCCAAAGCGCTTTCAATGCGCTCATCTATCAACCCACAGCACACCGCATTAGACAAAGTCCACTTGAATCAATGGAGACGAACAATCCCTACCGACGGTAGGTGGAGGGTTTTCCTCCAGCATCTTCTTGTCGTCCTCGTACTGCTTCTTCCGCGATTCCGCCAATTCGGCTTGGGTAGGGAAGCGAGGCAGGGCATCCTGTCCAGAAAAGAATCGTTCGTCAGCCTTAACATTTTAACGCCGGCAAAAACGCCAATTTGATTAAGCTCACCTTGAAGCTCAGCAGCTCGATCTCAAAGTCCAGCGTCTCATCTGGCTCGACCTTGGGCGCAAAACCCTCGTGTCCATATCCGTACTCCGGGGCGATGATGAAGCGCGCGATCTCGCCCACATTCATCGTTGCCACGCCGATGTCCCAACCCTTGATCACCTTCTCTGCAGTACAATAAAAAAAGGAAAACCAATATGTAAGTTTCTCGCCCACAAACACTAAAGCACTACGACACTGCACGAACGTCGACCAAGCTGGAACTCGAACGGGTCGTCCGTGCCGCCCACATGCCTCCCGTCAATCATATCTCGTCTGTGAAAAAAAAAAAAACTTAGCACACTTCCCCCCAATAAAGTAACACAAGTATGAAATAATGCTCACGTCGTGTCGAAGATGGAACCGTCCATCAGGCGCCCCACATACTGCACGAACGTGGGGCAGCCTTCCTCCAGCTTCTGCTTGCCGGGTGCCTCCCCCTCCCGAATAATCTTAACATAACAAACAACAAATAATAGTGAATAATAAGTAAACGATTATTCTAAAAATAATATTATTTGTATCATTGCCCACCTTCTTGAGCACACCACCGTCGGCCGCGGGCGAAATGTCCACGAAGCCCTCGTCCCTGCAGAATCTGCTGCTCTCCGGGTCGAAGAAGGCCTTCGTCAGGCGCGCGCAGTGCGTGCAGAGCCGCTGCGGGTTGGTCACGAGCCCCACGCCGAAGCCGCCGCACTCGACGCAGCGCGGCAGGTTCGCGGCGCTCACGCTCTGGCGCCGCTCGGGCTCGGACTCGGAGTCGGACGACATTATGGATTATGGATACTGAGCCTATTTTGTTGAGGAGCTTCTCGAATTTTGGGTACGTACTGTACATAAGATGCCCACACCTGGACGGAAATGACTGCACCAAATTCACTTTTGAAAGTTACTGACCCGCGGATTACGACCTTCACAAGTGACGATAACACATACCCCGTAACCATTCTCGAGTAAATAGTAGAAGCACACAAAAAACACACAGCCTTAGGGGTAGGCCCACCATATTAGAAGGTGATAGTGAGCGGTTGCGAGGAGCGTAGCCGTAGCAAACCCGCGCGGGGTGCCCGCGAAGCACGGTATTTGCGGAGGCGGGCCCAGCGACGAGCATTCCAGCGAGCGGACCCATTGCCGCAACTCGGAGTTAGTTTTTCTACTGCGGGGGTCTGGGGGTGCAACCCCCAGAATGCTTTTATTAGAAGGTCCCTGATTTGCTGTGTGTTTTTCACGCGTTCTCACCATTCTCTCACTCACTCACACTGCCTGCAAACTGGTTTATTAGTTCTCATTCTTCCTTTCCCGACACCGCAAGCAAGACACCGTGCGGTCGCCATGCAATCGAGCTTCCTCCGTCCGCCCAACAGCCACCTCCTGAGTGACGAAGTCGTGGCAGGTTTGGCGCAGTGCTCGAGGAGAGCAACCAGGGATTCGGTCCCTGCCGGCCTGGTGCCCGGCTCAGACGTACATGCGTCGAGAGGGGAAATGCTAAAGCCACGAGACAAAAGTACTAGGTCCCGTGACATTACCAATAAGAACCACTAATTTGGTACATCAAATCTGATGCAGTCGGTAGCTGCAGGCAGACATGGAGTGAGGCCCGAGACAGACACCGAGTGCATGCAGTACTTGAGCCCCGAGACCGAGGACGAGTACGTGTAGTACTAGAGCCCCTGTGAAGTATTGTGACCGGTCGTGTTCCTGTTGCCTCCTGTCGCAGTTGAAGCTTTGCTCTCAGGCATTATCGCCCAGTGTAGTTCACTTGAGTTAAGTATTGCATACTATAGCCTACTGATAAGCGGTTCTCTCGCAATCGTCACAGGTGCTGAGCCCAAGCGCGAGAAGCTTTGAGGGCCAACGCTCTTAAGCTTCAGTTGCCAGCCACCCGATGGCAACGGCACAATCGACGAGTGCCGTGGCTACGTCAGCTGCGGGCACGACTACGACTACGACGAACGCTGTGGCAACTACGGTTGGAAGTAGTTTGACAAGCACCAGCATGGCTACGGCGACAAGTGGTGTGGCGAATACGCCTACGGTGCCTGCTGGAGTGGTTACGTCGGCCGTGAGCAGTATGATTGGAGGTTTCACGTTCCCCAGTGTGACGAACAATGGAATTCCATGCACGACACCCCTAATGGCTGGCATGAACACCGCGATGCTGTCTGGAGCAGCGGCTGGTACGGGGTTACGCCTTCAGGGGTACATGCGATGTATGGATATGGTTATCCTGCTGCCGTACCAGCAGCAAGTGTTCCTGTTGTGCGCCACGTTGGAGGTGGAGTCCCTGGAATCAAAGACATTTCGAACAAGCCGCCTGTTATGAAGAGCAGTTTTGATCTTTATGCAGTGCAGCTGCAGACATATCTCACTCGCTTGGGTTTGTGGGGCATCATCGATGGCAGTGATGTTCGCCCGCTCTTTGATGTGAATCGGCAAGCAGAGTTTGACGCTCGTGACAACGCGACGAGGGAAGCCATCCAGCGTGGAGTTCGGGAAGGTGATGCAGAGATGATTTGTCATGAGAAGTCAGCAAGGGAGATGTGGATAAGGTTCGAGAATAAACAGACGAAACGTGAGTTCGCCAACTACATATTTGCGCGTGAGCAGCTTTACTCGAACAAGTACACTCGTGATATGGATATGAGTGGCTGGTTGAGAGAGATGCAACTACAGCGGCGAGAGCTGTCTCACTATGGCAAGGTCATTAGTGATGAGGAGTTTGCTGAAATCCTGCTCGCCAATGTGACTCGTACGCACCGCGAAGTTGTTCGCCAGTTCTCTCGCCACTATGCTGCACTTGCTTTGCCTGGAGCACAGCAGATGACACCTACTGCTGCGCAAGTGATGAACGCCTTACTTGCTGAGGAGGACCTCGACGAGAAAGTGGGCGAGGAAATGCCTCGCAGTATTGGTTCGGCCAAGAAGGCCGCCAATAATCAAGGCAAGCAGAGCTATGGCAATTCTGGCACTGGCAATGCTGGAAAAGGCAAGAAGCAGCGAGGTCGGGGGAGATACAAAGCAAAGGGCAAGGAAACCCTGGCAAATCCGGTAGTGGTAAGAAGAATGACGGCTGCTGGAATTGTGGCGAGCTGGATCACATCCGCGCACACTGTCCAAACCCGAAGAAGACCGACGGCCCGCAGAACCAAAAGCCGTACGCTGGCATGGAAGCCAAGCGTTTCCAAAACAAAAAGGGCGGTGATGGTGGCGGGGCCGTGAGGACCATTGATGCGTTGACACAGCGCAAGATTGGAGCGACTGTGGTTGGTCCTCGACGCCGAAAGCCTCGCGTCATGGAGTGGGTGTTGGATACGGCGACCGATGTACATGTGTGCACTGATTTAAAGTTGCTGGACAATTCACGAACGGACCGAGAGCATCTCTTCCTAGATTTTGATGGACAGCCAAAAGGCGAACGCATGATTGGGGATGTAAGTCTTCAAGTAATGAGTGTGACCTCTCAAAGGACGAAGTGTTGACATTGTCTGGAGTTGTTCACACACCGACTGGCCCCGATAATCTGCTGAGTTCACATCTACTTGAAGAGAGTGGATAGGAGCTGGACTTTACGCAGAATAATGGCAATCGGGTTTGCACTTTGACGAAAGATGGTTCGAAGGTGCAGCTGAAGAAGACCCGGGGCCGGTATCGACTTCAGGCAAGACCAGCAGAAGCCCGAGAGGTGCGCGCGGTGACAACTGCGGCTGCCACAAATCTGAGTGCAGCGGGTGCGGCGAGGGCAAAAGATTTTGAGCGCTGGCACATGCGCTTTGCTCACCTCAATTATCCTGCTTTGCGTCAAATGGTAACGCAAGGAGCTGCTGTTGGCTTTGAAGGGCTCGACCGAGCCCTTCAAAGTAGTGCTGCAGACTGTACCGGTGGTCGGGACGAGAAGTGCTGGGCCTGCATCGCTTCTAAGCAGAAGCGTATGTCGTACAAGAAAACTCTAACTCGACGAGCAACGGACCCATACCAGAAGTTGATGTCAGACTTTGGTCCTGTTGGCGTGAGTACGTACGATGGATACCAGCATTTCCAACTGGTTCAGGATGAGGCTACGCGATATGTATGGGGCTTCCTCGTGCGAGCGAAGGAAGAATCACGAGCAGTGGTTACTTCGCACCTGGAATGGCTGCTAGCGCAGGGTCATCGCATCGAGGTATTTTCTACGGACCAAGGCAAAGAGTTGGTCAACAACAAGATGAAAGCATTCCTCCGGGGGGAGAGGAATAGAGTTCTTGTGGACGAATGCTTATAGTCCAGGAGGAGAACGGCCTTGTCGAGAAAATGAACGGCGTTATGATGGCGAGGGTCCGGAGTCTGTTGACGACCGCCAACATGCCGTCTAGTCTAGGGGGTGAGGCCTTCAAGTATGCTCTGGAGGTTGTGAATGTGAGTCCGTCAAGCGCTCTTGGTGGAGAGACACCCTACGCACGGAGATTCGGAGAGCGTCCGGATGTTGAAGTGCTGAAAGTGTGGGGATGCATTGTGCATGTGTTCACTCCCAAGAAGCTGCGAGCCAACAAGTTGGAGAACCCTGGGAAGCTGGGTATGTTTGTGGGTTTTGATAAGAACTCGGATAGCGTTCGTGTTGCACTCCTCGGGGCTCGGCCAGCCGGATGCAAACTTGGAGAAGCGTGGACGTCGAGGCGAGGCGGAGGTAGAGAGGCTTGTAGAGGAAGTAGTCGGAGTTGGATGCGATTGGAGACTTGAGGACTTGAGAGGAAATGTGAGAATGATTCATTTTTGTTTAGAGTCTGCTATGGAAGCGAGAAAACCTTCAGCACTGCCAGGACATGTAGGAATCTAGCTACTCATACAAATAGACTGTTACCCATTGCACCTACAGGGTGCATACTTGAATCTGCTCAGTCCGGTCCAGGAGCAATTCATCTTGAAGCCATAATTTGAGTCGAGTAAATCTTCGACCTCCGAACCGATGAGAAAATGCAACATTCTCCCCCGCTAAAGCTGACGAACACGCTGTCTGTCTTTGAAGTCAGCAAGTAGTTGTCGCCAATGGACAACGTGCTTCACGTCACGTTCACGAAGCCAGGTGCTTTCGTCCTCAGGCAAACCTTGCCACTTGATTAGCCATTCCCGTTGACGGTTGAATTGACGCTTCTTGAGGAGTGCTTCGACCACGTGATACTCCTCTTCGTCGAGAGCCACCGGGAAGTTCTTCGCAGCAGGGCGGCGATCAAATCGTGCGACCGGTGCGGGGTAGTGCTCCAGCAATTCCACGTTGAACACGGGGTGAAAGGGCTTCATTGACGCTGGTAGGTCTAGTCGAGCTGCATTTTCGTTGATCATTTCGAGAATCTTGAACGGGCCGATCTTGCGGGGTGCCAGCTTCTGCTTCTCCGATGTTTTGTCGAGTGTGACGCGCAGAAGCGGGATATTGTCCGTCCTCAGCAGCACTAAATCACCATTTTTGAACTGCTCGTTGCTGCGGCTGCGGTCATAGTTGTCCTTTGCGCGTCCCTGTGCTTACAGGAGCTGCTGTCGGGTTGCATCGACAATTTTCCTGCGCTCGTCAATAAATTGCACCGCGAATTCAGCTGGGGATTTCGCCAGTTCGGTCGGATTGACACGAAACAATTCAGCCGGATGCCGAATGCGACGCCCTGTGTCGATCTCGAACGGAGAGAACCCTGTAGCCTTGTTTTTCAGTGTTGAGTACGCCAGTTCAATGGTTCCGAGGTGTTTTACCCTGTCTTTGCCGTGGTAAGCCGTCATGCACCGAAGTGAGTCAGCTAGTACGCGGTTCTGCCGCTCGGTTTGACCATCCGCTTGAGCCCTGTGAGCGACCGTCATCCGCAGCTGGACCCCGAGCAAACGCATCAACTCCTGCCAAAACTCGCCTGTGAATTTCGGGTCACGATCACTTACTATAGCGCGAGGGAGGCCATGGTGGCGCACCACCGAGTCGAAAAAGACGCGAGCAGCCTGGGTTCCGTCGGCTGTAGTCACAGTGGGTGCGTACTTAGGCCGCTTCGAGAGTAGGCAAATAGCAGTCTGGATGCAGTCAAAGCCTTCAGATTCTGGCAATCCGGTCACATAGTCGAGTCCAACGACTTCCCAAGACTCACTTGGCACGTCGAGAGGAATCATGCGTCCATTGCGTTTCTTGCTGCTTGTCTTGTACCGCAGACACGTGAGGCAACTCGACACATAGTCCTTGACATCGCGACGAAGCTGGGGCCAGAAGTACCATTGCGAAACTCGAGAAAGTGTCCGGTCCTGCCCTGGATGCGCTGCACCAGGTCCGTCGTGACACTCCACGAGGATTTTCGTCCGCAGCATATCATCAGCAGGGACACAAAGACGACGCCGATACTGCTTATCCACCAAAAACACTAGTCCATCCAGCTTTTCGATAGTTCCGAACTCCAGCTCAGCGGTTTGACCTTCTTGCACTGAAGCATATGTGGTGTCGAGAAAGTTGAGTGAAGCTCACGGCAAGCCCCGCGGCATTCGGCGTCAACTCAACCGGCGGGTCGAGGCACATCGCCATTCGTTCGATGGTGCTCGACGGCCGCTGATTGGCCAGTCTGGACAGATGACGATGACTCGTCGACATTCAAGCTCGAGCCGTGGTGTCCACACAACACCGGGACTTCAAGGACGACCCGAACCTACGGCGAACTTTGGCCTGAGTTCCGCACCTAAGGCGACTCTTCGAGCCTTCAAGAGGGCTCTGAGGTTACTTGGGAAGATCCAAAACGGACGCGTTTATACTAGATAGTTGTATTGAACCATAGGAAAGAGAAGATAGAACAGATAAGCCCTTTGGGCAACAATAACAGAACAGCTTTTCCTCCCAACCACTCAAGGAAGACGGCCGGGCTATCGGTGAGTTCCCGTAGCAATTGGATAAACCTGTTGGTAGGATTATGACTGTCGGTGGACGCGCCTGCTAGTATCGTAGCGTGCGTTTACCCGTGGTCAGGCCAAGAGAAGAGAAGAGGTGGTCGTGTATATGAAGGGCGAGTCATCACCGTGTAGTGGAGGAGCGAGAGCGCACTCCATTTATCCTTCCCGCCGGAGTATAGCTCCGGCACCCTCGTATCAAGCCGTGACTGGCTGGGACCCTTCCTGCCTGAGGGCCTGCGAGGTTTATATTGCGTGTGAGAGCGTGTCAGCCTTTGCTCGTGGCTGGTGACGCTGGGTTTCCGTCAGTTGACTAAGCGGAAACACGGTGCACAGAGGAAACATCAACCCGGTGCAAGGGAAAGTTCCTGGGCCTTCAGGTTCTAACCCTAACAAGCCCATTGAGTCATCGGGACTTGGTGGTTGTTGTTGGTGGGGAAAGTGTGCTATTATATAATTTAGTGCGTGTTCCTACACGACACATACAGCGCATCCTTGGTGTAGGCCTCAGCAAATTCTTGCTTAGTGTCTTGGCTGAGGGTAACTGTACTAGTATCGAAGGTAACTGCATGAACAGCAACTGGAGATGGAATCACCTCCTCCCCCGACGAAGAAGGCGACAGCTCTGGGTCCGATTGTGCGCTCGTCGGCTCGCACGGAGTAAATATCACCACGTTCTCCTTCATGTCGGAGGTAGCTGCATCTGCACGAGGACGAGAAAGTGCGTCGGCCACAACGTTCTGTTCACCTCGAACGTGTTTCAGCTCGAAGTCAAACTGACTGAAGTAGTCTAGCCACCGCGCCAAACGCCCGGAGACGCGAGGGTGGGAGAGAAACCATCGACAAGCTGAATTGTCGGTAAATACGGTAAAGCGTGCGCCATACACGTAGTGACGCCACTTTTTCAGGGCAAGCAGGATTGCAAACAGCTCTTTCTCATGCGGCGGCCAGTTGAGTTCACCCTTGCATAGTTTCTTTGAGTAAAACGCCACGGGATGGTCGTCTCCATTCACAACCTGTGAGAGAACTCCACCACAGCAATAGCCCGAGGCATCTGTCGTGATGCAGAACGGCATGGAGAAGTCGGGAAGGCGCAAGACGGGGGCAACCTGCAATGCGGCCTTAATTGCTGTAAAGGCAGCGTCTTGTTCCTCGTCCCAGTACCAACCAGAGTCCTTTTTCACCAAGTTGCTGAGAGGCATGACAAGTTTGGCGTAATCTCGAACAAAGCGGCGATAGTATCCGGCCAGGCCGAGAAAACTTTGTAGTTCCTTCACGTTCTGCGGCGCGGACCACTGTTCAATTGCCTCCGTCTTCTTCGAGTCTACAGCGAGACCTTTAGCCGA